GATAGTGGCCACTTTTGTTACTGCTTTGAAGGATTTGCAGAGACAAATGGATGACGATGACCTGTGTGAGATATACAGCCTCAAGATACAGTAGCCTCAAACCTTCACTATATAAGCTCGCTTCTGCTGGTACAAGACCACTGCTGCTGAACTTGCAGTATTTCACACGATTAAAGTATGTGATGATTGCAGTTTATGAGTAGCATTTGTGCTTTGTACAGTTGGTACAAGAGCACCAACAGTGATATATTATTTTCTGTGGTAGTTGAGGCAGTTCTGACCCCCCCAGAGGCACCTCGTTACGGGAGGCACCACAGCCCTCATACGCCTTCGCATCGTCCTCGCTCACTCACTCTGGATTATATAGTCCTCCATGTAGTCATTTGCTAGTAACTTCAGAATCCAGTTTAGTAATTAGTGAATATAAAAAACAAATCACTGTGCATGTGGTATGGAAAATGTCGAGAGCCACCCTGTAAGCATGATGCTGCTTGTGTGTACTGGCAGAGAGGTCAGGGCTAGGGAGAGTGAAAGGGCCATGTGGAGGGCATGTATGCGGTGGACGGTGTCATCCCGCCGTCCAGCTATGCAGCAGCCCACTATGCACACCAGCTGTACATTGCTTCATGTTTTGTACATTATTAGAGATGAGCAGTTTCTCAGGATAACCTGTTAAAAAGTATTGTAAATTATATCAGCAGTGTCTGAGGAGTAATCGGATAAACAACCTTTGTGTTATGTCAGCCATTTGGTAGTATTTTTTGTGGTAGCAGTGTTGTATGATGTGACACTGGGTACTGAACAAAAAATAGCAAAGTAGCTCTCTTAGTGTTCCTATTACTATGTTATGAGCACTGTTGAAATATTTCTTGTTAATTCTAAATTAGATTTTGCTCTGGGTACCAAAGATTCTTTCCTTTGTATAAACTGCCATTGATCATATGGTGCAAAGGCTGTTCACTGATCACAAATGTGATTGATCTGATGAATGTGAATTAGCCAATCACAAGTAGCTAAGGCTTTGTGTTTATAAAGACTAACCAATCAGGAATGTTTGAAGATTCGATCCACTGATCAATCAGCTGCCTTATTACAAGAATGTGCAGGAAAGCCTCTTTGCATGTTGAGAGCAAGATGGTCTTCCTAGTTTCTTTCAGTATAAGCAAAAATCCTAACCCAAAAACCATTACACTTGAAGGCAACACATTTGATACAGTCAAAGATTTCCATGTTGTTTATATGAATTTTCTATGTACAGAGTTAGAGATGAGCTTTTTGTAAATAGTCTTCCTTGGAGTCTCAGAGAATAACTTAAGAAAAATGTTATAATCTTTAATTAGACGTCACCTGGTTGGAGTAGTTAGGCCACCAGATGTTCCTCCTCTATTGGACACTAAATCCTTTTTGTAAGTCACATTACACTTCGCTCAACAACAAATTAAATGGTAGTATTTTCTGAATATCATGATACAAGTTGTTCATTTGAGGCCATTCACTCACAAGAGTTACTTATTTGGGGCTGTACTTTTTAATCTTTGGATAGTGTGTAGTTCACTTTCTTTAATTACTGTACTCTGGTACACAACACAAACTGAACATGTCATACTATTTTGAGTTATATCTTGCATTCATGGATTTTTGAGCTATTGCTCTTGTTAACCATCTCAGGGTTTCTTCAGCCCTATGAGCGAAGTGTAGCGAGACGACCTTCCTCACACCACATTCCCCCTGTCCCACGTTGGTGCTTCCACTGCGACCTGCGCCGTTCTTCCGTGAGACTCCAGTGAAGGAAGAAGCCATATATTCAGAGACAATAAAGGCGATTTTGATGTAGTTTGTGTTTTATTTATAACCCTACTAGATGGGGCACCCGGTGATGACCAGATCCCTTTCAAACACATTCTTACAGGCCTGCCTGCCTGCTTCCCTCACATTCTCCCTATCACTTAACACATACACTCCCCATCACCTCTCACACACCCTCCCTATCACTTCCCACACATGCTCCCTATCACCTCCCACACATCTTCCCAGGTGTCTCCAATCCCCTCCCCCACAACCTTTCCTGTCTCCTATACACATCCACCCAATTTTCCCCAAACACACTACCTTCCCATAAATCCCACAAGTTTCTTGTCTCCACTTCCAACAGTTTAACTCTCCATGTTTCTACACCTCCATGTGGTTCCTTGTTTTCCCAGTCTATCCTTCCGTGATTGAAGTCCTTCATGATGAGCAGATTATCTTGTGTAACTTTAGTATCACCTCCAACTCACTACCACAACACAACTACCTCACTTCTCTGTAATCACAGATGGATAAGCCCATTTACAACCACAACATGGCCACAACACTGCTACAATCACTTGATTGACAGTTGAGAGGTGGGATCAAAGAGACAGAGCTCAACCCCCGCAAATACAACTAGGTGAGTATAAAAGCAACCATTACAGCATGCTTAGAGCCTCAACACGACTACAACCAACATAGCTACCACAGCTGCAAACACACACCAGAGCCCACCCTCAGGATGGCTACAACCACAATTAAATTATTACAAAAAAGTACAAGATGATGAGTAGGCAGGACATAAAGGGCCAGACACCTCTGCCAGTCACCGATAGGCAAGTATCCACACAGCTATAACTACCCTGGCCCTAAGAATCTCAACAATCATTATCTTGCATGTGTCTGACCAGTTCTGGAACATGAGGCGCCAGCATGGATCTGTCCTCTCGTTAAACTAAGTAATTATTAAAAGAAGGCACCAAGCTGGGAAGGCTATGTAGCACTTGTTAAACTATGCGAAGGTTTAGAGGAATGCTACAAGTCTAGTCCCAGAGCTGAGAAGTATGAGCTATGAGGAAAGTGTTAAACATCACATTGGGAAAAGAAACAGGAGAGATATATGTTAGCCATTGAAATCTGTCCTCTGGATACCATAGTACTTATGTCACATAATGCTCATTGTGTCTATGATGCTAATGTTCACACTTTCCCTGCTAACTGATAGATTTACAGTTATTAGCTATCACCAGGCCCCAACGCTTCCTCACGTCCCATAGTACCCATCCCATCGCTGTAGACACCAGAATAGTCTATTTGATAAATTTTAATAATTGTAATTTCCATTCCCTCTTCTGGTGTAAGAGTTACGTTCCATTTTCCATCCTATTCGAATATCACGGATCAGCTACACCCTATTGAAGGCTCGTAGTTTTGTTTTGAGAAATCTTGGTGCTTCTCAGTAGATTATAATAAGCACTATAAATTATTACATAATTTATTACATGATTTCGCTAAACAACCTTATATACAATAGTGTAAGCTTTGAAAATCTTAGACAATGAATTGTAGAACCGTCTCGTTGGAATATCTGTGGGGTACGCTACTGCAAACAGGATGGATATAGGGTCCACAACAAGTCACAAATCAAATCAAATGTTTATTCAGGTAAAAGTACATACAAGATGAGTTACAAACGTAATGTTGGATTTCAAGATAGAGCTAGTACATTGAGCCAGTAGCCTAAAGCCACTAATACGCACAGCATTTCGGGCAAGGTGTGGGCGATGTTTATGAGGTCCACTACCACCCAAAAGGATAGGTATGGGGTCCCCTACCACCCAAAAGGATAGGTATGGGGTCCACTACCACCCAAAAAAATAGGTATGGGGTCCACTACCACCAGTTGGGTGGGTATGGGGTTCACTACTGCCCACAGGATAGGTATGGGGCTCACCACCACCCTCGGGATAGGTATGGGGTCCACTACCGCACACAGGTGGGTGGTAGCGGACTCCATACTCATCCAACAGTTGGCAGTAGACCCCATTAACATCCTGCAGGTGGTAGTGGACACCATACCCATCCTACGGGTGGTAGTGGACTCCATACTCATCCTATGGGTGGTAATGGACCCCATACTCATCCTACGGGTGGTAATGTACCCCATACTCATCCCAAGGGTGGTAGTGGACCCTCATAAACATCTTACAGGTGGTAGTGGACCCCATACCCATCCTACGGGTGGTAGTGGACCCCCATACTCATCCTACGGGTGGTAATGGACCCCATACTCATCCCAAGGGTGGTAGTGGACCCCATACTCATCCCAAGAGTGGTAGTGGACCCCATACTCATCCCAAGGGTGATAGTGACCCCATATACATCGAGTGACAAGTTGTGGACCCTATATGCATCCAGAGGATACACTAACAATGTTGAAGGTAGCAATGTTCAGTGAACAGGTTCCCAAGTAGGATGACTTGAGAGGCATCAACATCAGAGGCTGGTGTTACGTGACAGACTTGACGTGGTGAGAGGCAATGTCATGTTATTTTATCCCGTCGTTGTAGATGTTCTTTAGTACCTCGAGACGGTCTTTGCCTTTCTTACTGTCTGGCTGTGGTCGTCTGAGGTGGAGGTTACGATACGACAGTTATAAGCTTATAAATATAAATATGTTCACACTTCAATGAGTTAAAATCACTCAATTTGTCATTAACGAGCAATATCTTAAGTCAATTGAAAGCAAATATTAAAATATCATCCAGTGTTGTGTTAGGAACTTTGAGTTATTGGGTTTCTTAGTCTGTTATTGCATATATTGTATATTGTAGTTGTCGAGCGGCCATTAACAGTTCTTGACTGACGGACGATTATTAATTCACTGCAGATTCTATTGCAAATGTTGCTCTGTTCTGTTGCAATATATACAATATAATGTTGTATTTCGTTCGTGAATTAGATTTTGAAATGAACAACTTCAAGCATTCAAGCTGGGGATCATTATTGGTTCATTAGAGTCTCGTTCGTATTTGTGGAAGTGAAGGAGTGGTTGTTGGCCATTGTTAATTGACACTTCAGACTCGCAAGATGTTAACCAATGGGGGTGAATGTTAGTGTGAATGTCAACCACTCAGCGGCCGGGTTGGGTTGGCTTCTGGATATAAAAGGGAGGATGAGCCAAAAAGCACTTCAGTGTTGTTTTACCTCACTTTTGGTATACAGTTCAGCTTCGTCTCTTGATGGTGAAGAACCCCCCCCCCCCCCCCTTCTATAGTTCAGTAAAACTGAACTATAGAAGGATTTTTTCTTGGTACAAAGAGCACAGAAAATCTGGACCTGTCAAAACAGAAACGGATCAAATAAAGAGGTAAGTCAGTGATTTTCATGTCTGATCACAAGAGGCAGTAACAATAGTGAAACACACACAGCCCCCTCAACCCAGGGCTTTAACGTAGAGATGCACCCATACGGTAACAAACAACAAAGACCTAACACAAGGGCAAATAACAAAGAATAGAGGAGAAACACCTCCACTTGATAACTCAACAGTATCCTTAGCACCATATTACCCTAGAAACACGGAAATACACACCTCACAAACACCAGGAACATCTAATCAAGCCCAGACACAAGTAAGACAAAAAGAACACAACAAGCACAGAATCAAGGCCCTATTTTTGACCATGGCCTGGTAGATGATCTGTCCACACAATCACCTGAGGCATGGGACAACCTAACAAAAGCACTAAAAAGAGTAGACATTGCCCCACCTCTAGAAACCCTACCTAACATATGGGCAGAGAGGAGAGTCTGGGAAGGAGCAGGCGAAAAAATATTAAGACCTTCCTTTCTCAAAACCAGACATCCTCCACCCTGACTCAGAGATCACACAGAATCAGGGGAATACTCACAAGCGAACGAAAATACATAGAAATAGACCTAACAGAGGGAGACATTAAAGCAGCAGACATGTTGAAAAGATTTTTTTCAACCTTAGACCACCTCAAGGAAAGACTAAGGCAACTCCAATGGACGGCAAACTGGGATAAAACCCCAGCTTTCCTGACCCAAGCCCCAACCTTTCCATTCTTTTCAACTGACCTACCAATACCACCAGGAATGGAAACATACATAGTCCTTTTACGAAAAACATGCAAGGGAATCTGCAGCAGTATACACCCTTTTGCTCAAAGGTTAAATAGCTAGAGCATACGAAAATAGAAACCCTAGTAACATGCATGCTGGGTGAGGGGTTTAGCTATGAAAGGATAGGTGCCATACTTTGGACAGCCTATAATAAAGACAAAATCGACATGCTATACACAACCCCAACCATTCTCAGGACAAATCCTGATCAGGGCCAACAAAAAAACCATATAAAGAGTTTAAAACACCCCCTTAGATAAGTACATACGAAGACTTAAGAAAAGAAATGACATTATAGCCCCAGGGGGGAGACTCATTGAAGAAAGTTATCCAAAAACATCAGTATGGGATATGACACCCGACACTGATGACTCGCTAACAAAACCCTTGCCCATCCAGCAAGAGGAACACGGTGAACCTACACCTCCGGAACAACAAACTAGAACACCAAAAAGGAACCCAAACAGTAGAAAGAGTTAACCCTGAAACAGACAAACACAGAATAGACCCAACCAGAAACGCAGGGAGAACAGCACTAACAGACAAAACCCTCACACAGTGAGAGGAACAACAATAAAAACGGGAACACAAATAGGAACAGTAGATATACAAACAACCGCTCACAAAGTAGGGGAAGGCCCGGAGTGGCGGACAGAAGCCGCCCTCACAACTCACAGACGAGTTAGCAACTCACCCCTAAGAGACCAAGCACCCCCCCCCCAAAAAAAAAAGAGCGGGAGAGGGTGGCAAAATGGAGGGAAGCCAAACACAGGGAAAGGATGGAAAACGAGAAAACAGGAACGAGTCAGGAGCTCGGTAGTCTCAGAGGTGAAAATCTCTAGACGAGTGGGACCTACTCTGGAAAGGTCTTTCCTTTGTCCCAGGTCCCCCACCCAGGCATAAACGCCTGGCAATAGTAGAGGAGACACTAGGAACACTAGAGAACCTCATAAATAACACCTGGTCAACACTTAGGACCACAGGACCACTACAAAAGGACACCACAGGGTATAGGGGGAATGATGAACACAGAACCCTTTCCTGGAAATACATGAACCCTCCCCAGATAAAACAGAACCCTTTCAGACTAAACGGCCTAAGTAGTCAGCTGAATCTCCTGACAGACTCTCTAAAAGCACAGGTGCTGGAACGGAGACCCTACAACCTTAAAGAGCTCCGACTAGCGTTACGCAACCTCTGCGAAAGAAGATATTGTAATAAAACAGGCAGATAAAGGGGGCTCAGTAGTCCTGCGGGAAAGGAAAAACTACAAAGAAATGGGGAGGCATCTGGGTGACACCTCAACTTATAAACCTATAGCAAATGGACAAACGGCGCTGACTAATGCCCAAAAAAGAAGCAGGAGTCTGATCCTGTCATTTTTCTACAATGGAGGAGGAAAAGGCTTAATGAAAGCATCAGCTAGGGACATCTTTCTAGCTTTCGACTCGGAATTACCAAATCTATACCGGCTACCAAAAATACACAAACGTAAAGATCCAGTAACAGGAACTTGGCCGGGTCGCCCGGTACTTAGTGGTTGCAGAGCACCAACAAAACCAATAGACAAAATGTACAGCCTTGTTGAACCCCTTACTCCCCCTCTTGAAAGAAAGACTAATAGACACGACGAATCTTAGGAGATTAAATAAAACAAATGAGGAATGGGGTCCAGTACCAAACGAAGCAATCCTTTTCTTCCCTTGACATAGTTTCCCTTTACCCTAGCATTCCCCAGCGAGAAGCAGCCACACTAGTTGCAGACTTCTTTGATAGGAATGCCTTTAAAGTGGGGAGGGAACTAAGAAAGGCAGGAATCTTCAGGCCACCTTCTAAAGAGCTCCTAACGGAAGCAATCCTACACGTCATGCGCGACACGATACTAACATTTGAGGAGAAAGCCTATAGGCAAATCAAGGGAACAGCAATAGGGGCTTCAAGCAGTGTAGCAATAGCCGAAATCTTTGTGCACGAAGTCTTTGAGTCCCAGAGAATAAGCCTACAGAAAGGACCGAACCTATATTTTCGGTATATAGACATTTTTGGAGTAATGGTAGGTGGAATGGAGGAACTAGACAACTTTTACAGTTGGGCGAACGGGGTGCACCCCAACCTGAAGTTCACACTAGAAAAAGGACAGAGGGAGCTTAATTTTCTGGATACAACAATATACATTGATCCAGTCACCCGACGCCTGGAGACGAAGGCATATTACAAACCTACAAATCTCCATATGTACCTCAAATAGGATTCAAACCACCCAAGAAAACAGACTCCTTACCATACTCTCTGGGTCTACGCCTAAAAAGAATAAATAGTTCCCAAGACACCCTGAAAGAACAACTTGAAGATCTTTGGAATTTCTTTAGAGACGGATTACCCTGAAAAAACTCGAAAGGACGAAAAAGAAGCTGGAAGCCATAACAAGAGAACAGGCGTTGGCAAGTAAGCAGACACAAAACAAGGAAAGGGATATACTAATCTCAACCTTTTTCCAAGGCCTGGAGTTACCTCTCAGAAAAACAATGGACTCGCTATGGGCTTGGATGGACGAACGTTTTGGCGATCACCCATCATGGGAAAGATACCCAAAGGAACCACCAATGATAGCCTGGAAGCGAAAAAAGTCCTTGAGACAAACTGGTCTCGGCAAAACTCAGAAAAATTACAGCATAGCAAAGCGGAACAAATTAGAAAAATGTAGCTAAGGTAGTTAAAAACCCATTAGCACAGAGCGCTACCTAGGGATAGAACAGAAAAGGCAGATAATCTCCGGACACGAGGTCGGGTTGAGACCCATCAAGAATCGAACCCAAACCCCCCTCTAACCCCCCTCTAACCCCCCCTCTAACCCCCCCCTCTAACCACCCCACCCTAACCCCCCCCCCACTAGTCATGCGAGTGGTTAGCCTTAACTTCTGGCCTTCAACCTTAAATTCGGTGACATTACAAATTTCCCGTCTTGTATATATTAATCGTAAAACTGCCTTAGAGTAGCATTTCGGTCGTTTTGTATCATTTCGGTGTAATTGTGAAGGTCTTGTATAACAACCTAACGAAATAATTCGTCCTGATCATTGCACTTTAACTATAATTAACTACCGGTTCGTAATGTTGCAATTATCAGCCCCCCCCCCCCTCCGGGGGTCCACACAAGGTAGTAAAGCTTGACAAACGCGACTTTAGTAAAATTCAGGTGCTAGTCTCCGGACACTTCCTCCACAGTGGATTGATAAAGCTGTTCGGAAAGTTTTGGTAATATATAGCCTTGCACGTAGACTGTTCATTCGTTACCTAGTGTAATGTTTACACTGGTCTACCTTCAACAGAATAGGGTTTTACTTTAGTACAAGTAAACGGACTCTTTAGTAGTCACTTACTACAAAGATGAAACATTAAGGCTTCTTGTATACGGGTTTTTGCTTGGCAAAAACTTTAGTTTCGCTTGTCGACTACAAATTTAACGTAACTCGACGTAAAAATTTTTAAATATAATTTTTACCTTGCCTTTTTAACCATTCTTGTACCAGGGTTGTCTAAATGCACCCATTTGTGCATACATTATGTATGCATACATTATTACTTTGCAGAATGCTTCTGTTTAGTGTGTGGGGGTGGGGTCGTCTCCGAAGACCATTACATGGCCCTAGATTGCTCCTGCTGGTTCAGTCGTCTTCACCAGCTTTTCCATTTAAGATGCCCCAGCTTAAGTTTTTGCCTGCAAGGCAAACTCCACAAATTCCATTTTGTGGAATACCTAGTAACATGGTAAGTAAATTATTATGGTTTGATTTGGTTAAACTCGCTACTGGTGTGATCTCTGCTACTAAATGTGCCAAGTACCCAAGGTGTCGGTTAGACTCCTCAGCATGGCTTTTGTCCCCTTTTAGTGAATTTAGATTAACTTAATTTTCAAATGGTTTCAGATTTCTCATGGGGCCGCGAACACTTGTACAGCTGGGATAAAGCCAACTGTAACTGCTAGCCTTGCTACTAGTTTCCAGCTAATAAGGAGGATAAGGACGCTTAATGAAGAGCATTATCGCCAGAAGTGAGTTTACTTTTTATTTGTCTTTAACATGGCTATAAATTACTGAAATATATTTGCACTGAATTCTAAACATGGTCATCCTGCTGGACTAAGATTTACTATATGGGGGGTAAAAAATGTCTTAAACTACTTTATATTTGTTAGGTGGGATCCAGTTGCTGTGGACAACAGCAACGCGAGGCAGAGGACCTGGAGGCGGTCATCCTGGTACACTTCGTCCTTCACCAGCTGCTCTCACACTGGGTCAGTATGGCTGGTTTTATTTTATTCACTTGTCAAACTCAAATTTCCATAATATACGGGGTGTTTGGTAGGTCTTAAGTACAGGTTACTCTAAGGTAAACAGCTGTAAAGGTCTGTTAACTTATTAAAGATGCAAGAAATCTTATTTTAAGGAATACTGTATAATAGTTCACATGTTAATTCTTCCCTTCCCGTCCTCAGGTTCGGGCGACCACAGCCAGACAGAGGAAGCAACGAAGACTTCGGTTCTGAAGAACGTTCATAACGACGGCATAGCGACAAGACATTGCCTATCACCTCGTCAAGTCTGTGAGACCAGCCTTAGATGTATTTTTTTTTGCCATAAAATGGCATAGTTTACTGAATGGTGAAGTTGTAAAATATTAAAATTTAAACTAGCTCATCTTTTTCTTGAATACCTTAGCCAGGTCTTTTTAATTCTTCGTGTCTACACTTGCCATTAAGGACCTGAGGTGTCGTTAGGGTTTTTAAATAAAAACCTTAACCCGTCAGTTAAGAAAACTATGAATTGCTCGTGATTTAAATAGCTTGACATTCGATCAATGCAGCAGGGGGGGGGGGTTGAGTACCCCCTCCAGACCAGTGTAGGTGAATTACTTGTAAAACCTGGCTGTGGCACTATTTTTGTGCATAGCTTTGATAAATAAGAGGCAATAGAACAATGAAGTTTAAGAACTAAATTCGTTTTTAAAACTATTCCTATTTATGTAATTTACTGGCTTATCCATCTGGATTTCTGTATCAAAAAATGTTGGATTTTGAGGTAAAAAGATGTAAGACCTTTTGTAATACTAGGTTAATATCGTAGTCTGGTTGTCCTACTGAGCGAGTAGTGACTTTATGCTGTCAAGTCTTGCTAAGAGTTAACAAAGAGTGCTTACCACCCGTAATGTAAAGCGTCTGTGGCATTACTAAATAAAAGATAGGAGGAAGGTATTGTACGGGGAGGGGAAAGTAATTATCAACGGCGGCACCAAGGCGGAGGGTTTAAGACAATCTAGGTTTGAACTAAATTCTGTTGTCTGAACACCTCCAAATTCTTTCCGATCATCAGGGTTCAGGATAGCAGCATCTAACATCCTTAGACCGGGCTGAAAAAGTGCCAAGCATTACAAACGTTTAAATAAAGTAGAATAAAATGCCAGTGTTTAAGGTAGTAATTTATTATTGAAATTTAAACAGTCGCCGAGAGACATCAGAAGAGCTCTTAAATCAGACTAAAGTAATGACATAGTCCATCTTATTCCGTCGTTGTACATACTCAGTCCAGCGACTGAACGTCTTCTCTTCAGCGGCTGTAGCTGGCCGGACCTGAGGAAGAGTGAGTAAACATTAGGAATGTCGGGTTTAAAATGGTTAATATTGCACAACTTTTTATTGTTACGTAAATGCAGTAATAAACCTATGTTAGACACTAGAAACCTTCACTATCGCCCACGGGATATGGGTATAGGGTGGACTAGTCACTACACGAGCGGTGGCGGGTAATTCACCTGCCCGCCCATTCTGTGGGTGCCGACAGACCCCCACACCCGTCCTGTGGGAGGCGACAGACCCCCCACACCCGTCCTGTGGGAGGCGACAGACCCCCCACACCCGTCCTGTGGGAGGCGACAGACCCCCACACCCGTCCTGTGGGAGGCGACAGACCCCCCACACCCGTCCTGTGGGAGGCGACAGACCCCCCACACCCGCCCTGCGGGTGTGGGGGTCTACGACCACCCACAGGGCGGGTGTGGAGGTCTACGACCACCCACAGGGCGGGTGTGGAGGTCTACGACCACCCACAGGGCGGGTGTGGAGGTCTACGACCACCCACAGGGCGGGTGTGGAGGTCTACGACCACCCACAGGGCGGGTGTGGAGGTCTACGACCACCCACAGGGCGGGTGTGGAGGTCTACGACCACCCAGGGCGGGTGTGGAGGTCTACGACCACCCACAGGGTGTGGAGGTCTACGGGCGGGTGTGGACTACGACCACCCACAGGGCGGGTGTGGAGGTCTACGACCACCCACAGGGCGGGTGTGGAGGTCTACGACCACCCACAGGGCGGGTGTGGAGGTCTACGACCACCCACAGGGCGGGTGTGGAGGTCTACGACCACCCACAGGGCGGGTGTGGAGGTCTACGACCACCCACAGGGCGGGTGTGGAGGTCTACGACCACCCACAGGGCGGGTGTGGAGGTCTACGACCACCCACAGGGCGGGTGTGGAGGTCTACGACCACCCACAGGGCGGGTGTGGAGGTCTACGACCACCCACAGGGCGGGTGTGGAGGTCTACGACCACCCACAGGGCGGGTGTGGAGGTCTACGACCACCCACAGGGCGGGTGTGGAGGTCTACGACCACCCACAGGGCGGGTGTGGAGGTCTACGACCACCCACAGGGCGGGTGTGGAGGTCTACGACCACCCACAGGGCGGGTGTGGAGGTCTAGGGCGGGTGTGGAGGTCTACGACCACGCACAGGGCGGGTGTGGAGGTCTACGACCACGCACAGGGCGGGTGTGGAGGTCTACGACCACGCACAGGGCGGGTGTGGAGGTCTACGACCACGCACAGGGCGGGTGTGGAGGTCTACGACCACGCACAGGACGGGTGTGGAGGTCTACGACCACGCACAGGGCGGGTGTGGAGGTCTACGACCACGCACAGGGCGGGTGTGGAGGTCTACGACCACGCACAGGGCGGGTGTGGAGGTCTACGACCACGCACAGGGCGGGTGTGGAGGTCTACGACCACGCACAGGGCGGGTGTGGAGGTCTACGACCACGCACAGGGCGGGTGTGGAGGTCTACGACCACGCACAGGGCGGGTGTGGAGGTCTACGACCACGCACAGGGCGGGTGTGGAGGTCTACGACCACGCACAGGGCGGGTGTGGGGACGGGTGTGGAGGTCTACGACCACGCACAGGGCGGGTGTGGAGGTCTACGACCACGCACAGGACGGGTGTGGAGGTCTACGACCACGCACAGGGCGGGTGTGGGGACCTATTACCACCCACAGGACGGGTGTGGAGGTCTACGACCACCCACAGGGCGAGTGTGGAGGTCTACGACCACGCACAGGGCGGGTGTGGAGGTCTACGACCACCCACAGGGCGGGTGTGGAGGTCTACGACCACCCACAGGGCGGGTGTGGAGGTCTACGACCACCCACAGGGCGGGTGTGGAGGTCTACGACCACGCACAGGGCGGGTGTGGAGGTCTACGACCACGCACAGGACGGGTGTGGAGGTCTACGACCACGCACAGGGCGGGTGTGGAGGTCTACGACCACGCACAGGGCGGGTGTGGAGGTCTACGACCACGCACAGGACGGGTGTGGAGGTCTACGACCACCCACAGGGCGGGTGTGGAGGTCTACGACCACGCACAGGGCGGGTGTGGAGGTCTACGACCACGCACAGGACGGGTGTGGAGGTCTACGACCACCCACAGGACGGGTGTGGGGACCTATTACCACCCACAGGGCGGGTGTGGAGGTCTACGACCACGCACAGGACGGGTGTGGAGGTCTACGACCACCCACAGGACGGGTGTGGGTACCTATTACCACCCACAGGACGGGTGTCCTGTGGGTTGACCCCATACCCCAGCCCATGAGCTATAGTTGACCCCATACTCCAGCCCGTTAGCTATAGTAGACCCCATACCCCAGCCCGTTAGCTATAGTAGACCCCATACCCCAGCCCGTTAGGTATAGTAGACCCCATACCCCAGCCCGTGGGCTATAGTAGACCCCATACCCCAGCCCGTTAGCTATAGTAGACCCCATACCCCAGCCCGTGGGCTATAGTTGACCCCATACCCCAGCTTATAAGCTATAGTTAACATAAGAACATAAGAACAAAGGTAACTGCAGAAGGCCTATTGGCCCATACGAGGCAGCTCCTATTCTATAACCACCCAATCCCACTCATATACTTGTCCAACCCGTGCTTGAAACAATCGAGGGACCCCACCTCCACAATGTTACGCGGCAATTGGTTCCACAAATCAACAACCCTGTTACTGAACCAGTATTTACCCAAGTCTTTCCTAAATCTAAACTTATCCAATTTATATCCATTGTTTCGTGTTCTGTCCTGTGTTGATACTTTTAATACCCTATTAATATCCCCCGGTTATGTCCATTCATCCACTTGTAAACCTCTATCATGTCACCCCTAACTCTTCGCCTTTCCAGTGAATGCAACTTAAGCTTTGTTAATCTTTCTTCATATGAAAGATTTCTAATTTGGGGAATTAACTTAGTCATCCTACGCTGGACACGTTCAAGTGAATTTATATCCATTCTATAATATGGCGACCAAAACTGAACTGCATAATCTAAATGGGGCCTAACTAGAGCAAGATATAGCTTGAGAACCACACCAATACCCCAATACCCCAATAGTTGACCCAATACCCCAGCCCATAAGCTGTAGCTGACCCCATTCCCCAGCCCATGAGCTATAGTTGACCCCATACCCCCAGCCCGTGAGCTATAGTAGACCCCACACCCCAGCCCGTTAGCTATAATAGACCCCATACCCCAGCCCGTGGGCTATAGTAGACCCCATACCCCAGCCCGTGAGCTATAATAGACCCCATACCCCAGCCCGTTAGCTATAATAGACCCCATACCCCAGCCCTTGAGCTATAGTTGACCCAATACCCCAGCCCATGAGCTATAGTTGACCCCATACCCCAGCCCGTGAGCTATAGTAGACCCCGATACCCCATACCCGTGTGTAAATATATAACAATCGTGTAACTAGCTTCGACAAATAAAATCTATAAAACGCGTTCTCTAACGAATTAAAAAGTTGTCCAGCCTATGCCTTATTCAAAAATAAAACCAAAAAGTACCTAATTTCATCATCATAGTTTCCTACCAAGTGCTTTAAACTCGCACTGCATCTTGTGCTACCCACAAGATTTATAGGGAGCTGAGCGGACAGCACGCTGGACTTGTGATCCTGTGGTCCTGGGTTCGATCCCAGGCGCCGGCGAGAAACAATGGGCAGAGTTTCTTTCACCCTATGCCACTGTTACCTAGCAGTAAAATAGGTACCTGGGTGTTAGTCAGCTGTCACGGGCTGCTTCCTGGGGGTGGAGGCCTTGTCGAGGACCGGGCCGCGGGGACACTAAAGCCCCGAAATCATCTCAAGATAACCCACTCCCCAAAATATATGCGCCAAAGCCATTCAACTTCACCTTTGTAATCACTGCTATCAACCTTTATCATCGTTATGTTGAACGCAAATTTTACTACAATGTACCCGTTAATATTCTTCAAATTTTGCTGCAAATTACCTACTAAAAATTATCTGTTAGATCAAGTACCTGCCTGACACGCTATGCGTTTAACTGGCTTTGTAACAATGTAAAAACATCAATGCTCTGTACTCTGATAAACCCAATGTACCTTCTTGTATATAAAAATATTGCTTACATTATAATGAGGCGCCAATTGAAATATATACAGATAATAATTCATGGAAAAATTATTATAATTTACTGAGAACTACCAAGATTTCTCAAAACAAAACTTCGAGTCTTCAATTGGATGCAGCCGATCCATATTCAAACAGGATGGAAAATATTACGCAAATTTCACACCAGAAGTGGAACTGGAAAATTACAATTATCATTAACAAGTTTGAACAAACTATTCGGGCGAGGGGACGAGTATTATGGTATGTGAGGAACTGTCAATCTACCACAGGAAACTATGAATATTAGCATCATAGGAACTACGAGCATTACGTGACATAAGCACTATGGTACCCTCAAGAGAGGTTGGATTTTTCGTGAAACAAACGTCCTCGCGGCCCGGTCTCCGAGTAGACCTCAGCCAGAGTGCTTTTTGAACTTGTGGACTGAGCTTTTTCTGGTGGTGGTTCGGTCTTTACTCTCTTGACAGTTATTCTTTGGGTTCCGTTCGTTACGAAATTACAGATCTATCTTCCTACTTTCCCACTAATTCCTTTTGTATACAATAACTGACAAACGGAAGCCATTTATACATAACAACCCAAGCCTAGTGACGAAGGAATAACAATGTGTTTATATATAGTTATCGCGCCTAACCCTAAACTATGCAGTACACCCCCTTATTAATAGTAAAAGCTAAAATTTACCTTAGTACGTTAATAAGAAGTGACTGTCCATACACCATTTAAACCCAACAAAAGAAATATCAAATGGCTTAGCTGGCCAAGAGAGGAGGAAGCAGCAGGCCCGCCACCGCCAAGGCCTCGGGCCACACTGATGTCTCGCCTTGTCTTCCATTCAACGAAAATGTCAGCCAAGGTGGTAGTTACCGTTAAATAGTTACCTCAACTACTATTGGCAGTTTTAGTTAACCAATTAATCAAGAATTAATATATAATTCATTAGTAAAGTAGCCATACACTTAAAAGATTATTATAATCTTTGTAAAGAACAATCTTAGGAAATGTTTAACAATGCACGCATTGGAATTGTCCTTTTGCAGTTCATTAGTCTTGATATTTTTTCTGTTTACTCATATATATACGTCCTATCTCCATAGATAAAGGAGGAATTGTGTATTGTGTATTTTACCTCAATAAACTTATTTCAATTTCAATCTTCATAGTACATTTTACGGGCTATTCATGCCCGTGCCACCTCTTGGGTGGTTTAATCTTTATCAATCTTCATAGTACACACAACTTGCTGATCACTCCTCCAGTACTAAGGTCGTTCATGTTAATCATGAGAGGGAACAGGCACTTCTAAAATGAGTCATCCTTCACTCCATTTATGCGGACCTTTTTCATCTATGCGCTCTGATTTTCATCAGTTATAATAAAATTCGTTAAATATTACTACATAATAAAAAATGATCATAACTCGTTATTGTCCACGAGGGAAATTAAAATGACTTCAATATACTGAGCCGAAGGATTGAAAACTCAAAATGCATTGATCACATTCATTGTGATCAGTGCCAGTGTAATATGTTGGTCTATGAGGTTCCAGTTTAAAATATAAACAAATCCTATTCTCTTCTTAATTCGCATAGCTTTACAATAGTACTGTAAAATCAAATATACAAGATCAGCTGACCGACATTAAAATTACATTCACAAACTAATGAACAGTTTTGTTGAAATATCGAGTTAAGCCGCAGTTAATATATTCAAATGAATTTTGAATATATTCGATTTCTTAATATTCAAACCATCCCTTTGAAGGGATCATCAGGTTCTAAATCCGTCAGACTTAAGACTATGCCACTCGGCTCTCATATAAATATATCAATTGAGGGTATACCCCCCCCCCTCTTGCTGTTGAACATGATCAATTACATTAATAAGGGACCCCGCTAAATATAGACCAAAGGGCTTGCTGCGGTCATCCCTATATGAAACTGGATAAAATATCTCCATATTAAAGTTACAAAAGCGTATAAATTGGATTTAACAAGATTTATGCGTATAATTTCCTGGGAGCTCATCAATGTTTCCAAACGGCAATGAACGTACCCACTCTATTACGACGGGGATAATTTAGCAGCGAGCAAATCTCCTTATAGACTATATAATCGCAGATAAAAGCTGGTTAACGAGCAGTAAAGCAATACCCTTGACGCTTTATGGAGGAAGCATTAAAGCTAGACACACGGCGCTCGACAACACCAGAGGAAGTTTAATAACAAGTTGACGGAGTACGTAGTAAGGCACACTACTATGATAACAATACATGTATAGTAGACAGGCTAGGAGACGTGGAGGACAGACAGAAGGCGGGGTATATTATCAGCCATAAGTCTGATGTAAATTCCGGCTGCAGTAGAAGCAAATTAGCCCAACCACTTGGGTAATTCCATTCCATTCATGCCTCTGTTCACCTATCTTTTACCTAGGAGGTAAAAAGACACAGCAAATTACACACAGAAATCACAATAGCGTGATGTATCAAATGAACAAATCCACAAGGGCCGTGACGAGGATTCGAACCTACGTCCGAGAGCATCCCAGACGCTGCCCTAATCGACTGAGCTATGACACGGTCAAAAGAGTTGAAGCCAAAAGTTCTACTGAACTTACTTGGATCCTGCAGCCTCTCCGAGACACAAACCAGAGTTTTGCACAACTCCCCCATGCACTCGAGCTATGTCAATAGGTCAATAGCTCGAGTGCATGGGGGAAGTTGTGTAAAACCCTGGTTTCTCTCTTGGAGAGGCGGCAGGATCCAAGTAAGTTCAGTAGAACTTCTAGTTTCAACTCTTTGACCATGTCGTAGCTCAGTCGATTAAGGCAGAGTCTGGGATAGGTTCGAATCCTCATCACGGCCCTTGTGGATTTGTACACAGCAAATCATTTTAAACTCATTATACGTTTCTATTTTCTGTTTAAAATCAAAACACAAGGAACATAGTTTTACAGGAAATACATTAGTTGCTATTTTGTATTCAAAAAGTTTTACAGTAAGCTCAAATGTCAAAACTTGATACAAAATTAAGTTTTTATTATTTTAATTTTAAACAAAATGAAAAAAAAAAGCAGCAACATGCATCTGATGCATGAATTTCTTTCGAGTATCTGATATTCCTTCATCCTTTGCAATTTTATCATGATTTTTTTCTTTTATGTCCTTTGTGCTGCTTGTATTTTGTATTAATATAATTTTTGAACCAACTCGGTTGCTACATGTTCAATCCGTTTGAACCGATTCATACTCATTTTGCCCATTTTTTCATACATTTTTTTCAAACGGCTGAATCAAATGAAAACCGTTTCCAGATCTATACTACTTTTCTGTAAACATGTGGATAAAAAGTAAGCTAGTAATTATCAAAGATGATGTGGATAAAAAATGTCTAGCACTTTACTCCAGGATATAAGTATTATAAGTATATACTCCAGGATATAAGTATTATAAGTATATACTCCAGGATATAAGTATTATAAGTATATACTCCAGGATATAAGTATATTTCCAGTATTCCCTTGGCCTCAGCATGCTGCTTAAGAGTAGTTATTCTCTGTTGACCAGACCACACACTAGGTGGTGAAGGGACGATGACGTTTCGGTCCGTCCTGGACCATTCTCAAGTCAATTGTGATGAAGGAACAGGAGGATCAATAAATAGGCAAGAGAGGTGAGGAGCAAGGCAAAAGGTACGAACAATAAGGTTAGTTATTCTCTCACCAGCTTGATCAATTCTGCAAAACTGCCTCCATTGCTGACTTTCTGGACGCCCATATAGTATCAAAGTTTCTTTAGTCAGTGCAAAAGATTTGATCTGATTGCATTGTTCTTCATTTAGTACTTACTAAAAGATGATGTAAACTGCCAGAAAAAAGGTCGTAAGTAATTACCAAAAGAAGGCACCAAACCGGGAAGGCTATATAGCACCATCAAATGTGCAGAATAATCAGAGGGTGCTAAATATCACCAAGGATGCCAATACGAGAACAAACACATAAGGCGAACGACATCAAAAGTATCCAATTCACCAAGAATTCTATTGAGGGACAAGCGACCACGAGGGACGGTCGGAAAACAAGACACACGCTCGTCCTGGAAGTCAGGATATTCAACAAGGATATGCACGATTCCTGATATGCGTGATTTCTGTGTGCATACTAAATAAGATCAGGATCAGTAAAATCAGGGTTAGGGGGCATGGATAAACTTAGCAAGGGAGTAGGAGGACGGACAGGGTCCAGAGCCGGAGGAAGTAGTGGAGAGGGGCGGTCAAGGGAATCAGGGGAAAAGGGGGGTTGGGGCAGAAACATGAGAGCGTACCTCAGCTAGGGCAGCAACTGGGAGAGAATCGAGGGCTAAAGAAACCTCCATATCTGGGACGGGGGCTCGACCACTGAAATGGGAGGGGATGCAGTGAGAGAGTTGGAGTGTGGGGAAGAAAGCAATGCCTTCTTACCTGCTGGGAAGGAAGGAGAGGAGCCAGGCTTATGTTTGATTTAAAGAGACAGGTGTGCCAGCAGCAATGCACTGGGTGACAATCTCGTCTCAACAGGAGAAGAAAAACGGGAGCGGTTCACATGAAGATTGTTGGGAGGATGATGGACAACAGCCTGGACAGACTAGCGGTATGGAGGGCCAAGAGACGGGGAAGGGCTGGGAAGAAGGATCGTGAGGAAACAGGAAAGAAGACACAGAAGATATGGCAGACTGGAAAGGAAGGAGGGGAAACCACCAGATGGAGAACCAGGACAACCCCTTAGTTCAGAATGCAAAGGAGCAGGGTAGGAGGCAGTGAACATGTCCAGATCCAGGACCTGGAAATGGTTGTGAGACTGAGAAAGAAGGAAAAGGCGAAGAGAGGAAGAAAGCAATGCACTAGCATAAGATATGCCAGCGAAAGAGGAGAGACTTGGCGTCTCGCTTCAGGAAAGGACAAACAACCGTGGTGCTTTAAATTGAGGATGGCTTCCTCAAATTTGTAGTGTATACACGTGCGGGAGAAGGTAGGGTGGGCATCACTGCAATTGAGGCAGTGAGCCTGGGAAGAAGAGCACTCTGTCTCAGTGACCAGAGTCCCCACACATGGGCATAGAGACAATGCACTTGTGCATTTGAGAGCACCATGCCTAAATTTCCAGCACTTATTGCAAAGTCTAGGAGAGGGAATGTACTCCAGAACAGAGCATCTGGCACCAGCAAGAATTACAGAAGGCGAAAGGGTCCTACTATCAAAAGTGATCTTCACAACTCGAAGAGGCTGATGACAACCACGAAGGGGTCGAGTGAACGCATCAACCTGGAGGACAGAATGGCTTTGGGCTTACTTTGGACAGTACTGGCATTTAAATGGGCATTTTTGGGGACCCAAACAGGGGTCTCCCCCAATGCTGGACAATGAGGCTAAGCGGGCAGCTGCTTCCTGAGAAGGAGCAGCAACGACACGTGTACCAAAATGAGTGGGGTCAAAAGTAACAGAGGTATCCACTGAATCAACAAGGTGTTTATGGAGGAAGAAATCATCAGGACATGTAGAATCCAGATGGTTGAGATCAAAGTATTTAGTCCATGTAGCAGGACCAAACAAGGCATGGAATGTAGGAGCACTGGTAGGAAATGCTCCTACATTCTAAGTGAGTGCGTCTGTAGGGGTGGGGATGGGGTGGGGGGGGGGGGGGTGGCACTGAGCACCCCCAGTCAATTGAGGGGGGGGGGGGGGTAAAAGGTAAAGTTGTCACAATGAGAGGAGCCGTCACTCCAGGTGATGAGGTGGTCATCAGTGACAGTAACACAGCAGTGGCAACATCAGGATCTGCGGGTTGGTACAAGAATTCAACCAACTACGAACCACTTATTTTGATGAAAGGGAGCAGTAGAACAACAGAAGTACACTTACATCACATCAGGCTTGCATAACCATGTGCATGGGAAATAGGTTTACAAGTTCCAGAAGATGAGAGAAAATGTCAGCACTGTGGAGAAATGTCCGACAGACCACTGGAACATTATCTAACACGGTGCAGTTACAAAAACATTGAGATTTCAACTTTGATTCAACAGAGCAAAAGTTGTTAAAACATTTGGGGGCAAAATCATACTGAAGCAACCATATGAGTCAAAGTCATGCTCCGCTTAAGTGAAACAGAAACAAGCAACATTTTGTGCGGGAGGGGGGATAGTCGGGAGGGTCAAAGAAGTAGCTTTGTGTGGGCCCAATGTAGCAAAGGCTACAGAGCCCGGTCTTCCAACAGTCTGACTCTAGGACCTGGTCGTCCACCCCACAAGCCTGGAAAGTTGCAAGAGGATCATTCAGAGGCATAGAAACGAGTAGGTAATAATTTCATTCACAAATAAGCCCCCATACCCACCATGCAGCCACAATTAGAGGATAGGACACTCAACCAGACAGGAGTCCCCCAGGGGTGCATCGTGAGCATACGCCCCACAATCGCCACCTTAAGAACTGTCAGTCCATCGAGATCAGGTTCAGCAACCAAGGAGAGCATTGACAATAAAAGCATTCCCTTGCTCAAAACATTGGGTACCATAGTTCTATGGGCGAGTGTGTGCCTCCCCAAATATCCGGGTGTCAAAACAGAAGATGTCCGAAAGAATAATCAAGAATGGCAACAAGTCGGCAGGAAATGACAATTAGAGAGAAGAGAGGGGAGGAAAAATGAAATATAAGGAAGAGGAAACAGCTTCCAGCAAAATTAGTGAAGATGGCAGCAAGAGCATAAGGCTTCAAAAGGACAGAGGACTGTCCCATGGAGCATCACACCCCGGCAGCCACCCACGAAGCCCCCCCTCACGATGACAATGGGCTGGAAAGGGAGGGAGAGTATTAACCAAGGTAACCTTTTAACTTCTTTCCTGGATAAAAAACATTCATAGGATAATTAACATTTGTTGATGCTGAATATTTATATTTGGAAGCTTGTGAACATCTCATTGTTTAAATGTTCCGTTTCTTGACTGACATCCTAAGCGCAGCACATTATGAGCATTGGTGCCTGACCACAGTGCCCAATACTGGCAGCATTCATAAAGAGCAGAATATGCAACATGTTTATGACTTGGCAACATTGTTCTAGATTTGTTCAATAAAATGATGAGGCAATTTTTCCGCTCAGACTAATCGCCCCAAGATCATCTTCAGTACAGTACGTATAATTTTTACATGTCTAATCTGCCCTTTGATAAGCCTGACCAGGTTATGGTAGACTCTGTGCTTGGCTTGTTTGTACATGTGATTCATAAAAAACTGGATATACTGTAGTTTACATGACACCTATGAAATGTGCTAGATGGGACATACACCTTCTGACTCTCAATAATTAGATATAAGAACATCGTCTACATTAGAAACTTTCCCTCTGAGACTGAAGTATAAAAGCATGGATAAAACTCATAGGAAATAGGTTCATGTATTATGCCTGAAGCTCACAAAGTAACATCCTTTTTTTAAAATTAAGTGAACAAGAATTACAATAATAACATGATCTTGTATCAAACAAGCATAAATATCTACGAGTAAGTTTTGAATATACAGTATACTACTGAATAATGGCAGTATATAACTCCGTCTTTATACACAGTCTTGGTGACCATACGTCATTCTATTTACATGAGGTTTCCTACTGCAGTTTTCTGTACATGACTTTCAAGAGAGGTCAGGTGAGGTTGGCTGCAAAACCAAACAGGTGACTAGGATGCCTTTGTCAAGTTTAATCGAGCAATGTGTGTCAGGGAATTTGGCAGCTTCTGTATATACATTTCACTTTCCCTATCTTGACACAAACTTATGCTGACGTAGCACTGACAAGACTTTCTTCAAAGTTTCCATGGGTTGCAAATTAAGTTGCTTCTAAATGACACTACATAAGACGTCCAAGCAGCTGGCACACCGCAACTGAGAAGTGTCCGTGTTACTTGTACAACGCTCAAGCTTTAGGAAGAAATTTCAATACCCCACTTTCCTTAATGTCCATCATGAAGTTATCACCAATGTCATTCAAGAGGTAATGGTGTAACCAATATGCTAATGACAAAAGGTACAGGATTAATAATGTTAAAACATGAGAAAAGAAAAGATACAATAATAATAATAATAACTTTTTATCACAGACAAAAGAACAGGTACGGCAACATATTGGCTACACCTCTCATATTACGCGTGCAAAATATATGCCGAATATAATTTTGTTTAGCCATTCAAGACAATTTTTATGACTATGATGAATACAGAACAAGATAATAACAAATGCTTGAATATTGTCTGCATGAACTGAATTCCATTTGACTTCAAGCTGATGAAAATAGTCACCATATCAAAACTAGCATTATTGCACAAAATTGTGAGCAAGATTGGACAATTGTAATGAATTTCATGTATTAATAGTAAAAGGCCCAACTTTAATATGTTGTGTGCCATCTGCACCTTGTGAATTGTTATATACCCTTCATTCAATACCATAAATCTTTGCCAATCCATACAACTTACAATGACTAAACCTGGGATTACAGTATTTAGATGCTTTATCATTTAAACAGCTGATTTGTCTAAGACTAAAAAGAATTTTGATTTTTATAAATAAAAATTATATATATATATATATATATATATATATATATATATATATATATATATATATATATATATATATATATATATATATATATATATATATATATATATATATTTGTGTGTGTAAATTCATACTGTGTGTGTGTAAATAGACACACAGTGTATGTACTTACATATGTATGTATTCAATGCTGATGATAGGCAAAGTCAGGGTTATAAAATCTTTATATGTCTTTGTTAAGTGCTGAATATATCAAATTATTATTGTACTTCTACCCCTCCCTCCCCCCCCCCCCCCCAAAAAAAAAACTTATAACAATTACTGCAGCAATACATTTACATTAAGAATTTCTTAACTTTCATCATGAGCCTTCTCAGCTTTCATTATGTTAAGAAAACCAATATAAAAATAATATGCACAGTTGTAGCCATAGAGTTGATTTATCAGTTTAGAAAATATATCCAACAATTGGAAGGATACATTCCATGTAATAAAAATATGCAATCGATAGCAATGTTTCACAATAAGAAAAACTTATTTCACTTACCTATTTCACTGACTTATACAACCAAGATCTCATCTTTGTGTACACACTGCACTGCAATCTCTGATATTATATAATAACACCAGAGAAACTGTATAAATAAAAGAATCACAGGTTCTACATCATTTGTGCAACACATTTAAGAAAATCAACCTGTAATCATTCTAAACAGCTATAACAATTTTGGTTATACCAACTCCACAATCATTCTAGCAACATATTTGGCAAGCGAACAGTACCGCTGCATTTTGAAATATTCATTACATCAATATAAAACACACACGACACCTGGGGACTTGTGGCCAGTGAAATGGATGACCAAGCTTTGATACTCTGGTCATCCCCCCGTGTACACATCCAAGATTGGTAATCTTTCCTTTGATTAGTCTTACAGTTAGAGTAGTTGAAGAGAAACAATTCACATATACACACATCACAAAACCTCTTCATACACTCAGTTCCCTGAGGAAGCAGATCCAGCAATATACTGCCTTCAGCACAATACTGAACCATCTCTCCACATAAATGGCTTAACTTCAATACCAAAAATCCAACTTGGCAATTAGAATCAAGAACGTTAAAATGAAGTACAGTACCAGCATGTTAATAACTGGAGATAAATATGGTGACCTAAGTAACATATTTATAAATGATTACATAAGGAACCATTAATTTTTTCTGTAATAGTAAATGGATTATTGAGATAATAATGACAATAGACAAAATACAGCATCAAAATTAATAATAATGAGGAGTGCCTTTGAAAATGAAAGACGGGATAATTTATTTCATACCAAATGTATAAAGATATTTGAAACTATTTATAATTGTATCTAGGATGGTGGGTGGAACTCTCTAGTTCCGGTGATGGAAGAGATGATGTCATAAAATGCAGTGAAGAAGCCCAGGAGAAGAATACACAGTGGCACGATGCTTAGCGCCACGGCCTGTTAGAGAGGTAAGAGAGCATGGCACATTTAGATACTGTGAGTAACTTAAAACTTATACAATTCTTAACAAATTTCAGAATTCTCCCCTTCCAACATATTCTGTCACAAATTGATAGATATTACAGGTATGCTGATGGCTTCTCTAGACAAAACCTATCAAAATATCAATATCAAAAATCAAAATATCTTCTAAATTTGCAAAATATCTTCTTCCAACAATATAATTTCCAGCATTAGTTAAGAATATCATGCAACTGATATTTTTCCTTAAGAGTATTCCTTCAATAACATTTAACTGCCTTCAAATTTTCACTTTAAGGCGACACATTTTGAGAGATGCATTTTAAAAAACATACCGAGTGAACTTTACTGTATATGAAAAGCTTCTTGAGCAGGACACACAGTGTAAGAGCAGGTCAACTCTGCATTCAGGTAGCTGAAAGCCTTACAAATGCTTCTTGGGTCGTAATGGTGCTAGGTAGACACTGGAGAATGCTCACTTCAACCCAGAATGACTACTCAAAGCCTATTAAGTACTCCTTAGCATCACATAGACCCCTTAAGAGTGATCTAGCCAATTACCCACGCTGGAAGCTCACTGTTCTCGTGACCTCGCTCGTGACAGCTGTGGCCTCCCTTAGAGTCAAAAGTTTCCACATTCCGGTTATTTTATCTTGGGTATTTGTTGTCACTTGCTTTATAACCACTGCAAATTGACTTCCAAATGGATACTGATCAAGAACAGAGCCAATCCATGACAAAAGCATTGAAAGAAACACGTAAGGAAAAGTTAGAGAGTTTTCGACGAAAGTATAGAAAGGCAAGACATATATACTTATATGCAAGTATCCCTTTACAGCATTCTATTGCGAACAATTTGATACCAAATTGAACGACGTAGCATGAAAATTGAGGTCAGAAAGCTAAAATGAGTATAAACCATTTGTGGGTGGTGGTGGTGTGTACATTACACTGCTCAGCCGACCTTGAGGTGCGCGGCGAGTCACCCGAAGGGGCAGCGAAAGTGTTAAATGAGAAGGTGGTGGAGGCCAAAATCGTCAGTACAGTAATTTCAAAGCATCATTCAACAAAGAGTACTGGGAAGACGGGAAACCCCAAGTGTAGCTCTCATCCTGTAACTACACTTGGGTAATTACACCTCTCTCAAGTCTCATAAGCACAAACACACAAAATACAGTAGTACAAAATAGTGACAGGCATCAACACACTTGACAAGAAGCAATTCTTGAAAGTGGCAACCTCAAAAACAAGGCTATAAATTCAAGCTTCAAAAAAAAAAGATACCCACACAAATATATTAAAGTCCTCTTTTACAAACACAGTTGTGGACGGTTGGAACATTTTCAACGAGAAAGTGGTTGATGCCAAAACCATCAGCAGTTTCAAAATGTCACAGAAACAGGTTATAGGCAAGATTATACTCAATGAGTATAGCTCTCAATCAGTAACTACACATGTGTAATTACACACTTTATGGTCAAGTATACATGTACTGTACAGTATTTAGTTGCACATCTTTTCTTTTGAACATTCATTAATACTGTAATATAAAAAATACAGCATCTGATAATGGAAAATTCAGATTAAATTTTATATTATTGATAAAAACAAACAAAATTTTTTGACAAAGTAGTTTTAATTTTATGTAATAATTGGGGCACAAATAAATCAGAAAAGCACTAAAGGATTAAAAATGCAAGCGGATTTCAACAGCATAAGCTTAAAAAGGCAAAAAGCAACACACACACCTGGTTAAGAACCCTAATGCAAAATACTGTAAAATGAGAAAAATAACAAATTTGATAATAAACCTCATTTATCCCTTTTTGAAAAGTGAAAGAATATAAAGTGAAAAACGATACATAAACAATAGTTTATGCATTGTGACCGAATGGAACTTAAGTGATGGTACAATCCCAAAATAGAAAAAACTTATTTTCATATTCCTTTGTTTTCTTTTGCCCTTAACAAGCTTCCAGAAAAGTTACTAGTATAAATTCTTAAATGACAGGAAATTAATTCGACAAGAAGTGTGATTTTAGGGAATTCTCCCATACTCAGGTCCAGGCACTACGTGACTCCTGTCCCCGGCCACTTTATTGATAGGTGGTTAAATGTTCAGTATAGCATGCATTTATTTGCATACATCACAAATCCACAGTTAGGTGCATTTAACAATTCAGACTAAATAAACATGCAATTACATTGTTAATTATGTTTCTAGCTTGTTATGGGTTTGTTAGAAAAAAACGCAGGCATTTCTTGACATGTCAAGTCTACCAATACATTTAGTCTTCATAACTATACACAAATTACAAAGGTATTAATACACCTGGATGGAAAATTATTTTAGTGCAATTATGATCATTTGCTTCTGGATTGTATTTTAAAAGATTATTAATCTCATATCACATAATAAATAGAAGGAAAATTACAGTGCAATAGTTATGATTGCTACAACACGTGAGATCATGGGATTACAAATTAAAGTATGGATAAGCTTGTCTTAAAATAAGACACACTTAAGCTGTCATTCTCCATCATATAAATATCTTGCTCCATTTTCAATGAAATGGGATTAGTGATTTACATATTTTTCCATGTATGAATTTAAGAACCAAATTTGCTTATTTAGTGACTTGATGGAAGTTATGGAGAAGTACTAAACACTCAAGTTGAAATTGTCTCAGAATTTAGAATAAAGCATGTAACTATTACAAGAGACTCACCAACTCTGTAAAAGTTATAAATGATATGTTTGAATATAAACTATTGCAAATTATAAGTGAGCCATTTAATGTAGAAATTTATTACCAAAATATTTTGTAAAAAAAAAGACAATTCCCCATCCAGCAAATCCACACAGCCTCACACTGTTATAGAATCCAAGTAGAAAAAGCATAGGGAGAAGATCAAGAAGAAAAGTAATTATCTAATCCCTCACTTTACTCTCCCTACAACACTCCTGCAACTAGCAACACACGGCACCAGTTGTGCCATCAATTACCTGTAGGTGTGACTTGTGGTCGGGCCGAGGCAGCAACAACCTCTTCCCAAGGGGCCTTCTAAGAGCCTTGCAGGGCTTACATTCGCTAATATCTCAAGGCTTCTGGGACTGGCTCAGACTAACTTCTCTGTCGCACTCAGGGATTATATTTAATTCTCTCGATTTTTTTTTTTATATTAGAGGACTTCTACATATCTTTTTTACAAACAATAGCTATATATACATACTGTAGTTATATTACATAGATACAACAGTAGAAGGGATGCTATGCAACACTAGTTTATATATACTAGTAATATTAGCTTAAATCAATATCAAGGGGAAACTGTACAATCTAAATACACTTTAATATAACCTATACTGTACATCAGTAATACAAATCTTGGCACAATGATCACACACGTTGATCGAAAATAGGGATTTTTTTTAAATCTATAATTCCTCTGTTTCTTCTGTACATTTTGCAATAACTTGCCAAACAACAAGCTTTAGTGCATGTGTGTTAATAACAGGCAAACTCGGATGTGTAAAAGCTTTGCTTATTTCTTCCTACAAAAGGCTTTGAAGAAATTCAGAGCCAAGAACCAGAGCCATCACCACAACTCCCAAGACCCATGTTGGGATCGTCTGGGGGGAGAGCAATAAACAACCAAACGTAAGAAAACAGTCCAATGTGCCTCAGCATGCTTCATGTTTTGATGAAAGATGGATTTATGTGAAACTTTCTATAGAAATATAATAAAAAATGCTTATATTTAATTGACAAAGTCTTATCAAGTCCTAAGACTTGTAGACAACAGCTCCATTACTCTTCCTTGCTCAGACAAAAACAGCAAATAAATATAAAACAAAATTTACTCAAAGAATTGTGGACAAATGTAAGGGAATTTTTTTTTTGTTTACTTTGTCTTATGATTTCTAAGATAACGTACTTTATCTTAGCAAGCAAGATGGAAAAACAATCGAACAAGCCATGAAAGTAATCCAGTCTCATCTTTCAACGGTCTATAAAACAGAATTCCAGAACTGCAAGTGTTATGATAAAAAGTTGTACTCCAGCTAAATTTTTGTTTAAGAATTTCATCAAACTGGAAGCTAGTTTTGAAAATCAACTCAAATATGGATTTATTGTCTTCCACATGTAAGACAACACTTGCAAGTACTTGGCAGTCACGCTGAGGCAAGTGGACAAAACAAAGGAAGTAAAGTCCCCTTATTGTTACACTCAAGATAAAGGGGAAGCCTGAAAAAGCTGAATAAAGAACTCGGGCTGAAAAAAAAACCTATCGGTGCTTAATTTAAAAACATGCAAAAGATTTCTTTTAAGAAGACAGAAAAATTATATTTGATTATAAGACAGCAAACAATAAGAAGACTTCCTATTATACAAAATATACATAGCAAAACAACTTTAAAATAATATCAAAATGAATGAAAATTGCTAAAAACAAGAACAATTTCAATTGCTGAACTTCAGCTCTAAAAGTATAACAAAATAAATTTTAAAAGAAATTGATGAGCAAAATTTACAAGTTACTTAAACAAACTATAGACAAAAAATGATATTCAACAGGCTCAAATATTGAAAGATTACAGACTATAATTGAACATACCATCTTGTTTTGTACGGCCAGGAGCTCATAATCTTCATCCACTATGCCGAGCTTACTCCGTAGTTGATTACGCTCTTCCCTCAAGGAAGCCAACTCCTCTTGAAGCTTTTCCAGCTTGTTTGATACGAATGATGTGTCCTGAAAGTTAGGTAAAAAGCTTTTATTATTCGTCATTCAGTATACCTGACTGATAAGACCCATAAAAAATAAGCCAAGAGAGGCCATAAAATACAACAAATTGTAGGAAATGTAAACTGTGAGGTACTACTGTATATTCCTTTGGTATTAACAAAATTACTGTTTGGTAATGTAATGTAAATGATATTATACATCACTTACATTACTACAAAGTAAATGCTGTATAATATTTATAAGCAGAAATATTATACATCATTTACATTGTAGGTTCTGTATTAGTTACCTTCAAAACTGGCGTTATTAATCCATCAATCAAATCTTGTCGAGTATCATTCAGATTTTCGCTACTTTTCCTCTTTTCAGTTTCTAGTGTTTGTTGAAGAATGCGTTCCCTCTCCTGCAAAGAGGCACATTCTTTCCGAGTCTGGGATAGCTCTTCATTTAATTTTATCAGGGTATTTTTTAATTCACTAAGCTCTATTTCTTTGGCTGTAACCGATTGACTGGTTTCGGGAGAGTGTATGTTGTAAGTCTGAGTTCCAGAATTATCTGGTGTATTGCTAACTGATATTCTTGAGGAAGACACCGAAGTTTCATCTGCACTTGGGTTGGTAGTACTCTCCTCGGTGGATCCTTCCCTTGTTGCTGGAGGGGTGTCACATTCGTCGAGTGTGTCATTTCTCAAGAATTCATTACTGCCAGAGGGGACGCGAGATGGAGGAGGAAGAATCAGGGGCGTTGTCGGAGAGGCCTGGTTGAACTGCAATCTCTCCTCAAGCCCTACTATCCGTCTCTTTAGAGATTCGGCTTCCTGCACACTAAGGCTTGCTAATTCTTCTGCCTCACTTAGTTTCTCTGGGGAAAAAATAAAAAATAAGGAACATGAGCATATAAATAAATTTGAAGTGTGAATGAAATGGGAAATCACCATATGTGAAATGTAAACTCAGGAATCCCTTATTTGAAACAATAACTTTAAAACATTGAATCAATCTATCTATATCTATATATCTATCTATATCTATAGATATCTATCTATATCTATAGATATCTATCTATATCTATAGATATAGATATATATATATATATAGATATATATATATATATATATATATATATATATATATATATATATATATATATAGATCTCTCAATATGACGTGAGCTTCATAACAATGATTATGTTTTTCTTTTACCTCTAAGTAATCGAGTTTCCTCCTGAGCAGCCTGAACCTTCTGTTGCTCGTCCCTTAATCTTAGTGTAAGGTTTGACAACTGCATCTGCACCTCTTTAGAAGAATCCTCAAGACGGCTCACTTGATTTTGTAGTGATCCAACTGTTTTCACCTTTTCACTCATTAAGGCTTCACTAGCCTATAAAAGGAAACAGAATTAGGCAAGCAAATGATACGTATGAAAAAGGGAATTTACATTTTCAGCCTGTCCACATACATATGTAAATCTGCTAGATAAACTGTTATCATCTGCAAGCAATAATATTGTACTGTATTGAAAAACGGATCAGGAAGCAACACAATCAATGTACGAGATACAAAGTTGAAAGAACAAAGTGGGTCGAGGCAGTTTTTTCGTAGGCAAGAGAGAACACGACACAGAAGGCAGATGGAAACAAACAAGCCACAAACTAAATATTTGTATGCACTGAGTGAGAGAGAAGTGCAATGAGCTCTCATCATGTGTAACGGCAGTAACCACCATTCACATCATTAAGAGTAAGTATGACCAAGTACTGAAACATTGGGAATAATAAATGCACCAGGAGCAACAACCACGAGGAGGGTTTTCAAATTGGATATCACTCTCTATAACTAGAACTAGGTTAGTACATGTGCTACTCCCTACACTAACTCTCTACATCATGTAACACAACACATCCAACTCCTTCCTTGTTTGTCACTCTACAAAGTTCTTCCTTTAACTTTGTCCCATATTTTCCAAGTTCATGAAGGCCATTTACACCTTGCAATCTTTCTCACGTGTCTAAAGGAGCTGTCACATCGGCAAGAAAAATAATATATGCCAAACCAATGCTGGTACTTTAAGACACTCGTGCTCTCTAGGGATGGAATATTCTTGCACACTAATGGCCCTATTCAAAGCTGGAAAAGCTGCTGACCTGGAGAATGTGTAGAAAACTTTTACTACTTGAATCCAATCAATAAGACATCTAAATTATTTGGAGTGCTTAAAATCCCTCAAACTGTACTCCTTGGAGTGTAGGCACAAGAAATACATAATTTACATCCAGAAAATATTAGAGGGATTGGTTCTTAACCTGCACACTAAAGTAATGCCTTAGGAGGAGGCAGGAGGCATGGAAGAAGGGGAAAAATAGCCCCACTAAGAAGTAGATATACAACAGGAACTCTAAAATAATATTATCATTACAGGCCTAACACTTCAACACCCTCGTTCTCAATTACACGAGGTATAACAAGTCAACCTCTTTTGATATTCAAAAGGGCAACTTGATAAACACCTCCAAAGGGTACCCGAGTAACTGGGGGTGCAATTTATATTAGCGCGCGTGTGCAGCAGTGTTCAAGTCTTTGAGTCTTATTGACCACATCATCAACTACTTACAGCTAATTGTTGCCGAAGGTTGGAAGCTTCATGTGATGCTGTGATGGCTGCTGTAGATGCCTGCGCCAAATCGTCCCGAATACGAGTTACTTCCTTTTCTGAATCCTCTTGTGCTTTTCGATTAGATTCCAAAAGTTCTGGGGCAGAATTACCATCATTAATTTCTTAGCCATAACATCTTTATTAAAAGGCAAAATATATTACAGTACCTTTACTTGCATCAAAATGATGTTCAAAAGCTCCCCACGGAGCTGAAGATATCCACGGTTGTTCCGGCAATATTTCTTATACTCACTCGGAGGATGTTGAACAACCATGGACCTCTGATGTTTATACAGTGTTTTCTGATTGTGCCTATGGCAGTCCTGCTCTTCACTGGTTGTATTCTGCATTTTCTTCCATGTTGTTCACTCCAGTAAGTTGTTATTTTTAAGGGGTATTGATCCCTTATGGGTATTTTACCCTTAAGGGGGGTCCCTTAAGTATTTGTAAGGGGTATTGCTAATATCCATTACACCACTTTCCTTCTCCAAACAACATTTTTTTTTTAATCATTTAACAAAGCTATAAAGTGAACAAATCCACAAGGGCCGTGACGGGGATTCGAACCTGCGTCCGAGAGCATCCTAGACGCTGCCTTAATCGACTGAGCTACGACATGGTCAAAAGGCACATGCTCTTGTGGATTTGTTCACTTGATGCATCACGCAATTGTGATTTCTGTGTGCTATAAAGTGAAGCTCAGTGATTTAATATATTGAATATCTAAAATTCCATTGTAAAAAACAAGAACAAAAATGATTGAAGGCAACACAAATTGGAGGATTAAGAACAGATTGAACTAATGAGAGAATAATTTACTGTATTTATTTCCCTAGCATTTATAAGGGGCAAACAAAAATCACTTTCTCGTACAAACCTTGAAGTTTTAAGATGTCAGAGCGTAATATTGATTCTTGGGCTACCTCCACTTCCTTTTCCTCATCTTTATCCTCCAAACTACCATTAACATTCGAGTCCTGTTAAAAAGTTAAATTTGTCATAACATCTTAATCTTTAGAGACATCTTAATGACAACTTTACTTGACAGCAAATTTACCCCCTTCCCTCACCCAGCACTCTCGCGGTGTGCATCACACACAAAATAACTTGAATATTTCCTTTTTTTTTTTTTTTTTTGCATTTTCCTTGCCTTTGGCATGCACATGTATTACATTATAAAAAAAATGGGGGGAGGGTACACATAGCCAAAGAAGAACATTTGATAACTACACTTTAGGGTAAAGGGGTTAATCTCCAATACTGGCCTTTTTATACTCTACAGTATAGTACTAATATTTAACCAACCCATAGTCTAAATTTCTTAATGACATCCACACTCTTTGTGCCTTTATAACAAACTTCAATTCATCTTGGGTTTCCTCCATTGTTCCAATAACATTTCTAGCTATCAACATCATCCCCAATACACATTGAATTTACATTCAATCATTTTCCAAGTCGATTGAGAACAGTACTTTTTTGTTATTATCTAACTCGACTCTAGATCTTCTAAGTACGTACTACATTTTTCACAATGTTGATAATAAAGTAAAATTACAAAATGGATGTTTTACCATGCATTCCTTGGTCGGGATGATTGTGAGAGTAGTGTCTGCATCACGGGAATCATCCAAGTCATTCGGTCTTTCTTCGTCTTTGGTATCATCTTCATTTAGTTTGTCTTTACTTTTTATAGAATCCTGAGAAAACAATTAATAATGAAAAATCTATGTTTTTATCAAGGTAAGCCGCTTGCAAAACAAGGATCTTAGATAATGCAATATATTGCAAACACAGATTCTTTAAGACAAACAGGCCATGGGTACAAAAATTGAGTTTAGTTATCCAATATTTCTTACGCGTTTAACTGGAAACAAAACCTATTTCTATTTATTTTCTATTCTATTTATAACAAAACCTTCGCTATTTATGGAATTACTAATGTTGCGTTTATTACATACAATAAAATAACAATTAAATAAATTACCTTCTTTTTCCTTACAAGAGTGTTGTCGTCGTAGATGTCATCATATATCACAGGGATCTCGGACACCACCTGGTACTCCCGTAAACGATCCTCTAAGGTTACTATCTGGGCTTGTAGGTGCTCTGCTAATGCTGTGCTCGCTCCACTCTTGGCTTTGTTGTCGGCAAGTTCCTCTGTTTAATACAAACCAAAGAATTTATTCAGATACCATTTATATACAACACATCTAGAATAATACAAAAATTAATAATAATAATAATAATAATAATAATATTGTGATCATGGAAAATGCTATAAATTTTAAATTGTCATGCAACAGCAAGCATGATTTAGGTAAAACAACGATGATATACACCCTATGTATTATGAAATCCATAAAGTCTGTAAATGTGATATAATACATCACATGTTGCTGCATGGAAGGTATATTTCAACCCTAACAATGGTATTTTGCTTCACAAGTGTTGGGTTTGATTCCACACTACAACTGGCATATTACACGACTCAGAAGTGATGTAAACAATAACAATAACAAAAACACTCAACAATTTACACCTGTGCAATATTTAACATCCACTAAAGGAATGAATTATTATATACTGTATCCTATGATCTTCAAAAGGCTTTTATATTTTAATTGCCATACAAGCACTAATTAATTACTGCATACTATCATATAAAAACAAATTAATTACACTGTGACCTCCAAAATCTGCATCATATTATTCCATATTTCCAAACAATAGATAGTTTTTTTTACTATTCGTTACCCACTTCTACTGAGTTTTCTTGGAGCAAATGATGTAATACACATTTCCACATAGACATACAGTATATCAACAATGACTGTATTCATATAAATAATAATTCTGCACGAAAAAATAAAAACATTAATTTGTTCTTACTAGCATTTTCGTACCACAGACTGGAGTTGGTAATCCAGAGGCCATAAAATACAGTTACAGGTACTATATGTCTTGGCGGATGACACTTTAATCATAAAAAATAGCATCCCGAAACTAGAGGCCATCTTATAGACCAGGTACAAAAATAGGGGTTATCTTGAGATGATTTCGGGGCTTTAGTGTCCCCGCGGTCCAGTCCTCGACCAGGCCTCCACCCCCAGGAAGCAGCCCGTGACAGCTGACTAACACCCAGGTACCTAGTTTACTGCTAGGTAACAGGGGTATAGGGTGAAAGAAACTGCCCATTGTTTCTCGCCGGCGCCCGGGATCGAACCCAGGACCACAGGATCACAAGTCCAGTGTGCTGTCCACTCGGCCAACTGGCTCCCTTAAAATTTCACTCAAAATTCCAAACTATAATTTGTAAGCTATTAAGATTGTAAATAAAAAAACTCAAAATCCGGTACAATCATTCGTAGCGGAGAGTCAGCAAAGGTTGCTGGGGTTTCTTATCTTCTCAATAATATTAAATGTCCTTGCAGTAGCACATTTATTAAGATTCCTTGGCCACTTCAATGACTTAACTTAAAACTTGCTTCAGACTTTCTTCCTCTTGCTAGTTGCTCCATGATAATGATACAAATTTCTTAAACTGGTTCAGACAGAAACTAGCAATAGATCAACATGAATCTCTTTGTAACTCTGCTTCACCAACCTACTGGTAATGCCCACCACCTCAGTCAACGTGACATCACACGTATGATATGTGAACAAATTGATCATGGACTTTAGTTAAATTACCAACTACCACTACAGACAACAGTCTATTGTATTTACCTTATTATGTGCCTCATTGATATCACAGACAATTCAAACAATTTACTGGTACTGTATCATATCATTAAGATATGATACCTTGTAACTGGTAATACCTGTACATTCAAAGTATTGAATTCATATCACCGTTTGGGGTTCACTGACCTAAACTTCACCACAGATTGTTATGGTATTTGAGGTCATCTTGTATCACAGATATGAGCTAAAACCACGAGACTGAAATTTGTAAGTTGTCTTATCTGGCGAGATATACAGTGCAGTACTATACTGTACTACTTTGTAATAGCCACTGTAAACTCTCATTATGAAGAGCCTTAAAATCCTCTAAGGCCCACTGTTTGATGTCATTCTTTTTTCTGGAGACTAACTGTGCACCATCAACAGTCAGGTAAGGCTACAGAGATACATATATTATTGGCCAATACCATCCCAATCCTCATGCTTAGAAACTTTCAATGTTTTTTGTCACTTCTCTTTCCTCCACTGCTCCCCATTTTAAAAACTATATGGTCTAGTTCTTGTTTTTTTATGTCAGGGAACAGCACTAGTACCAATGTCACACTCCTGTGCTGCAATCACATTCCTCTAGTAACTTGGCCATATTATCCATGGCATGAAAGTTTTTCTTATCATTATCTCATCTACCCACACTATTCTTGCCTCACAATATGGCGTCAATTCGCAAATAATTAAAAATCAGAAGAATAACCAGTGAAAATGCTTCGGTAACAATAGTTCAGACAACATGCACTCTCACTAGGGCTACAAACACAACAGAATATGCTAAACTCTTAAAAATGTATCGTCCTGTACAATAAAAGTTTAGTAAAACAAAAAAATAAATGCATAACACTATTTTGAATAATAATTACAAATAAAAAAGCAAGGTTAGCTAAAATAAAATAAAATGAATCAATCTGAATTTCAAAACATTCCCCTCAGTTACAGGATTATCAGTAACAGAAATTAGAATTCTGGTGAAGCAGATTTGATCTATTATTTAAAGGTATCAGTTATATGGAAGTTCATATTTTGGAGGTTGCAGTGTACTACTCTTTTCTGTACAACTACTAGTTCATTTCTTTATTTCTTGGTAATAAACCCAAACAAGCTAACTTCTCAGCCAATATTTTTATGGTTTCCTAAAAAAAAAAAAAAATGAAAAGTCAATCAAATAAACAATGAAAACTTACCAGGACTGCATTAAAACTCTCCATATAAGCATCTGTTTGTTGCAACACAAAAATCTTGATATCACTACAGCATAACTCAAAAAAGTGCTTTCAGAATAAATGCTAATCACACAAAGAGCAAAGCCATACAGTAACTACTGGTAAAATAGCTCTTTTCTACAATTAGTAATTCACATGCAATACAGGCAGAAAAACAAGATGGAGGCAACTAATACTATCAATCAAGTTTTTTATGTACACGCTACAATTAGCTAAATGGTAATAGTTTAACATGATATAAGATGAAGATAACATTTACTATTTACTGTAATGCCTTCCTAGTCCAACTTGATTCTGATTTATATGCAAATTCGGGCATCTTACCTGCTTACACTGATGTAATTACTTGGACAATATGAACAATCAAATCTAGCAATGTATTTATGGATTATGGATTTATGATTTCTTAAAAAAAATGTCTATAAAATTATTTAGTTAATATTGGGATTCAAGTAAAAGCCAGGATGAGATGGAAACTCACCCTGGAGGCGGGCGCGCGTGCTCAAGCATCCAGCCTCCGCACTATCTGCCAGCTCAGCTTCATCTAGAGTAGACAGACAGCATTGTCCGTCAGCGTTAGAATCATTAGCCAAGGTGTATTCATTCACTATCATCATGAGCATCAGTTAAGGTCACCAGCCACACTCAAAACATACAATAATTACAAATTTCAGTTTTATAAGCAGCTGATCTTTTCACTTCAGAACGAGACATGTATCACCCTTATTTTTTATTGAAATGACAATCGATAAATGATAATGTACACAATTCATTAATCTACACATGCAGATTAATTAGTCCCTAATTAACCTTGCCTGCAAACAAGACTAGTAAACACAATGATCACGACAAGTAAAGCTACTACGAGCCATTTGAAGGTCCAAGCAATTAAAATGAGGAGAAATGCTAATTAGGAAAAAAGATAACTTGGCTAGAGTCAAAGTTACAAAATTAAAAAACTATCTCCTATTTTTGATCACTGTACTGTATATAGAGTGATGAGAGCCCTTAGCTGCACATGGAACAGAGCTCTCCATTGCAAATATAGAGAACAGAGTGGTACCACATGGTATATGGACATAAGAGTATTCTACAGTAAATAGCAAGGAGAGGGTACTCGGTTGTAAATAGAGAAAAGGGAATATTCCACAGTAGATAAAAGTGAGTACTATAATATACTGACAGCAGAAGTAAACAAAAATCTTGAGGGGAACATCTACCATACTGTTTTGTTGAGTGATATAAAAGAAATGTTCAAGGGTTCAGCTGGGGCCTTCATCAAAAGTATCTGGTCAAAATTAGGCTACAATAGACTGGATAGGAGGAACACCAGACCTATGTTTAATGACTAGACACAAAACACACAAATTTAAGAAAAAAAAAAAAGGATAGGAGGAGACGGGATAACACACAACTTCCGTGTTATGACTTGCACCACCTTCATAATTAATCCAGTAGCCATTTGCTTGCACTTGGAAAGAACTACTAGGGAAGAATGACGACTGCCTCAGAGAGTACATTCAAGTGAAACAGGAAGACAAGGTGATGTTGGAAATGTGAAGCAGACCACCACCACTAGTCTATACCAAAGAAAAATGTGTGGGGAAGGATCTATACCAAAGAAAAATGTGTGGGGAAGGAAAGCCCATTTTGTTTCCTCACAGCATGGGTTCTACGGGCAACTTAGACCAAACGTAGATAATAAGTTAATAAGACTCAAAATTACACACCCAACTCACATATCTGAAATATAGGGAGTGACAACTTTCAATCTATCCTGGACCACTATCAAGTCATTAAGAACAGTGGTAGACGAAGTCAATATATAAAGATTAAAGTGAAAGGCAAGAAGACTAATGTATAGGAATAAAGGTAAGGGAACAAGGGCTAATGACAAAGAGAATGAGGTGAAATATAGACAATATAGAACATAATAGAAAGAAGAGAGAGATATCCTATATGAGCTAAAGGCTAAATGATCTACCACATGAATATAAAATGAACGTATGGCAAATGAGTTTGTATACCAAATACTTTTTTAACATTTAAATATGTACATTGTTCCTCTTACCATGGAAAGATCAGATTTGCAAATATATACTGTTTGTAGTAAAATATTTTGTCACTCATTAATATTTCATCAGTCATGCAAATATCTGCCAGATATTAGTAAATTCAAAGTTAATGATTTTATAGTACAGTACAGTATAATAATAATGACACACTACTGAAAGTCTATGTGCTTTTTGCTTTAATAGCCCAGACAATCCTTCAACATAACCCTCACTTTCCTCTCATCATAACTCTACATGACTCCACTCACTGCTTCAAAGACAAAATCTAACCATATTATCAGAAAAAGTGAATATGATTAAGTAGGCAATGGAAAGAAAGAAGTGCCAAATGACAAAATTATATATTTATAGAAATAAAGATAAATACACAGTTCATCTCTGTGTGTGTAATGTGTTGCTACCCCAGAAAACCCCCTCTCTTTCTCTCTCTCTCAGAGCAGGGGACTATGACAGAGGAACCCCAAGTAGGCCAAAATAAGCACCCAATCCATTGTTCTATATTCTTTATGCATTCCTAGCATCTTTTTGGTTAGCAGTCAACTACCTCTTTCCATCGTGATACTCGTTTTCTAATCACAAACTTTGAATTTCTCTTTACAATTGTATTGCCAATTATCACTCCGCTTTGTCCAAATCACCATAAAGCAATTCTCTGAACCCTTTCCACTACCTTGTATCTTTGCCCTCTGCTGTCCAACATATTCTATACACATCTCTATTCCTTACTTCAACCATTTTTACATACATACAGGTAGTGTATATATATACATTATCACTACCACATTTTCCACTTTCAGACTGAAGAAAGGTGAGCAATATAGTAAAAGGTTATACTGTACTTTGAACTAATAATAAAAAACATTAAAAATATTATTTGTTCATTCATTATATCATTCACAAATACAACATATAGTGACATGGATAAGCATTAACACACTCCAGCAGTTATTGAAGATTACAATATACTGTACTAGTTATGAACATTCAGTCAAATTCACACCTAAGTCAAATAACAATCATCAGACCCTTTTATTGGTAGCAGTCTGAGGTGGAAATGTAAAACAGAGCCAACAATATTGATGACGATATTGATAACTGGGACAATATTGACAATATTGATAACTGGGACAACTATGTAGATCATAAAGAAAAGGGAAGAAATACTGATGAATTTGAAATGGAAATTACAGAATACAGTATTCCAATAGTTATAGAAATACTGTACTCTGCAGCCTTTTGGGTTTCTAACAAGAAAAAAATGAACAAAATGTGTGTAGAAACAGAGAAAGCTGATGAAGAGTAATATGTCACACAACAGGAAAGTATATTGTATTACAATGTTCCAAAATGATGACAAACTTGTAGTTATGACAAAGAAAGCTACCGATAATTGAGATGCATGCCAACTAAATTCAAAACAAGTTAAATGTCTACATTGAACTATATACTGTGCTCTAAGTGGCATGAAAAGAAAATTCATTAAGTGTTCAAAACGCACACACGCGCACACACACGCACAAACACACCCTCAATTAGAGGCACTACAAATCCTTCATTAATAAAGTCAAGTTACACATGCATTAATAATCTACATTTCTGGTATGCTTAGAGTACTGTACTTCGCTGTGAATACTTACGTTTGAGCTGGGAAACATTTGCCTCGGCTTGCCTGAGTTCATCCTGAGCAGTTTGAAGGCGGTCCTTTAGTGTATGGATCTCCCTCTGTGTTGTTTCTAGGGCTTGTTTGATGTCACAAGGCTCTATACTTAACATATCCACACCTGCAGATATCAATGATATTGTAACCACAAAGCATCAAGCACAAATTTCTCCACTGATCATACAAATTAATAAATTAACCACAACTAATTACAGGATTTTGTTTAATACAGTATTTACATAAACATCCCATTTCTTCTTTGCCTTATTATGCATACATTAAGCAAATTTCTGATTTTCAAAATGTAATAAAAACGTACCCTAACAGAATGGTAAGGCTTTATTCATTTTTATTTCATTTCATTTTGATTCACTATGGCATGTTAGTTAACGTGCCTAAAGACATGGGTTAAAGTATGCTTAGTCAATACAATTTCTTAAAAAAAAATAAGAATAAGGTTTTCACATTAGATAACCAACAGAGTATAATCTAAATTTACCCTTTAGCTCTCAAGTTTTATGTGCAACCTCCTCATGACAACTTAAATCTCACAGCTGAGAATGACCCCAAGGGACGTTTTCATTAATGGGATACCGACAATGACCTATATATCTGTCCATTATTAAAATGCCCCTGGAATAACAAGGGCCATCAACAGCAAGTCTATGAACTCACCACAGTCCCAGTCATCTGGAACGCTTGACTTAATTACACAATTCAGGGGAACAAGGTTTCATAGAAGGATGTTCCAGCTTCTGACAGTTGCTGGGCTACTATGATTGGTTATACAGACTTTTGTGAAAGACTTTGGAAAATGTAACCAAGGTGTACAAATCAAATTTGTGCAAGTTTATCAAGATGATAAAATGCATCCCAAAAGGATACTTTTGGGATGCTTAGGCTATTTATACCATCCTTAATGGTGTCCAACCACTGGGACTGTCAGGAATTGAATGCTGTCTTGCAAGAAACAAGACCATCACCCTACTGTCCACCTGAAGTGGCTGGACACCTAGTGTAATAGCATAAAATATGTTATCAACAAATAATTAGAACCCCAAGAAGATAGCTTTTCAATCTAACAAGCCAAATATAAATGAATAACTGCTAAAGCTCTGCACCTCATAAGAAAATAGATCATTAAACAGACAAACTCAGTTTAGTAATCAAGCAGAACTAGAAACACGAGAAAATAGTTACTTTTAGAAAGAAAAATAACAACGAAAGTACCAAAGTAAACATAGAATTTCCATTCCTTTCATATTACATAGCAACACATTCTCTTAAAAACAAAACAAATTAAGTGTACCTGAAGAGTCTTTAACTGGCTTTATAAGTCCACTTATTTCACCATTTTTAATATTCTCATATTTTGCTTTCATGGCACATAATTGTTCTTTGGTGAAGTCACTTTCTGCTGTTATACTTTCTATTCTAGCCATTAATTTATTTTCTTCACTAGATTTCTCAGATAATTTGTTTTGTAGTTCTTTTTTCTCCTGTTCGTAGTTTTCTTCTGCATCCTTTAACTGGTCCTCTGCAGCCTGCAAAAATATCAAACTTATGATTATATATGAATATACATAATTATATATATATCTGGGTCATACAGAAATGAGTCTAATAAAGTATATTATGCCTTGAAGTTAGCAAAATATGCTTTAAAATCCAATTCAAATTCAATCCCAAAAGCAATAGGCAAGTTTACCTGCACTATTATGCACATAGGAAAGGTTTACTTGACCTTAACCAGTAACCACACATGAAGGTTACCTGCCAAGGTACGCACATGCAGGTACAGTACCCTGCAAGGTACTCATAGTTAATGTTGCCTATCGTCCACTATGTCCACTATGTAGACAACAAATACATCCAAAACTCTGCCTGTTCACCTGCTTGCCTCACACATTGCTGCATCATATACAGTAGAACAACATTCAAATTTGTTGCTCTTCTATAAAAAGCTAAAACAATACTGACGTGAGGATCATTATGGAAATATAACCCAAAATGACTACAGTACACCTCTGGGGGGCCCCTATTAAATATGGGTTAAAATCAATAGCTAAAAATTAAGAGATAGTTACAATAAATAAGAAACATTGGATTTGTTAATAACCACCTTTAATTTTTCTGTTAGTTGTGCAACTTGTTCACTTTGAGCAGACTGCTTCTCTAACAATTCAACAAGCTCCTTTTGAGTAGTTTCAAATATTTCCTTCATATGAGCTAATTCATCTTCTGATGTACTTAATGTTCTGGAAAAAGAGGGAAGAAAGTTACAAAGTAAAATTAAATTCCATAAAATATTAATAGCACAGTACTGTATATGCTTTTACCACATGAATGATAAAATTTAAATCTTTCCTGAGCAGATACAGTACAACATTTACCTTTCTAAATCTGCAAGTTTTGTGACAGCATCTAACTTTTCCTGTAAAACTCGTCTCAGTGATTCTTTGGCAGTGGTTTCGTACTGACCCTTCTCGTCCAGTAATCTCCTCATCTCTTCTCGAACACTGTCTTCAGGGTAATTCTACAGTGCAAGAGACATTACAATATTAGCAGACATGAATATTTAGTTGTAGTTTATCCCTTCTGTCTTTATGTTACAAATACAATACATAATTACTACCCAATTAAGATTCTATTCTATACACTACAAATATTACAATTGTTATCATTAACGACTACCCAGAACACCAAGATAATTCTAAATCCCTCTGTTATCTTTAGTATAAACACAAATGTTAAGACTGATATACAGTACATTATAGCATATAATAATTTAAGCAATATCATTTGAAATTAACAAAACCATACATAAATTATTATTGCCATTAAATAGTTATTCCATATTTATGATATTTAGGTATGACTGGTATGCCGTGAAGTGATTGCAAGGAACAACGTCCCCGCCGCCCAGTTTCTGACCAAGTATGTTACGTTTCAACGCATAAAACTTGCTAAACTATGGTAATTAAAATAAAGCTAATATTACAATTAAGTTTAATTAAAAATCAACCTACACAGAGCGAGCTTACTCGTCGTACATTAAACCTTCAGTCCCACCATCATGAAAGTTAAAACAACAAAATTACATTGTAGGCGTACTTTAGCATATGTAGTAAGTTGAGCTTCAAGAGTTTCAAGTCGCTGAAGTAATCGGTCTTCATCAATCATTGCTTTCCAGCTGTGAGTAGCTGCTTCCTGTTGAAGATAATTAAAACATTGCTAGAATATAGTGTACTAGATGGTAAAGGAATACAGAATAGTAACGCTGTTAAACATTACTACAGGAGTATCAGACCATGACAACACCACCACCACTACTCCTTCTCTTACTTCATTCACACCTATTATTGTCAAGTTTTATCTAGGCAACATTTAACATTTATAGCACATGTACAGCATTTTGCCTTATATCAGTACAAAAGAAAAAATATATACTATATATATATATTTAGAACCTAAAAAAATATCTGTACAATTGAAGAGAGAATTACAAAAGCTGAAAGCATGCTGTATATACAATGATACTCCCCTACCCCACATGCTTAATGTGTGTAAGTCAGTGACGCTAGCCCTAGACATCTGGCCACCCACCTCAGGACAGACTGACTTCTTATTCTATATAGATAGATAAGGTTATGACAAGAAAAATCCAGCCACCATGACATTCATCATTGATATTCACGTGCTTTACATACATTACTGAGATAAGAGAATTGCAAGACTATCTGAAACATTTCCTTACGACTCCAACATTCTCATATGATTAAAGGAGGGAATGTGTGGGTAAAAAAGTGTGTCCAGACTTTTGATACACTCCATTCTTGGCCAGCCATGTAATTGTCCCTAGTCAAAAATGCTGATAATGTACACCGATTCATAAATATAACCAGAAGGTAAGTACAGTAAGGCTCAATGATAAGCACAAATGATTTGCATTAATTCATTCTCAACCTGCACAGCTTTAAATTTACACATTAGCTTCAAAACTTCATATCGCAGAACTCATTTGTGTAACTCCACTTTCACTTAATCCAATGTTGGACAGTACTTCACAAATTACCTGTATACAGCACCTCAACTTCTCTTACCTGAGTAGATGAAACCAGACGTTGTAAAGTCGCCAATTTCGTTTCAATTTGTTGTTCCCGATGCTGAGCTTCCTGCAGGTATGTACGTAGCTGGTATAGTTCCTGAGCAGACACACTAGACACTGCTCCACCCACTGCTGTTGACGGACTGCAAACACAATTATTCCTTCACCGAGTGAATTGAAATCATTGAGCACGAGTGCTATTTTAACGAACCTAATTTGTAAATATTAGTACTGCACTATACTGAATAATAAAGGAGGCAAACTTGAAATCAGTTGTGGGGAATGGGGTTTCCCCTCATGGTAATTATTTAATGGCATTAGGGTCAAGTTACAGGTCTCTGGACACTTGAGTTATTGACATTCACAATGGGACAGTGTAGTTGTGAGTTTATTGAAAAACTTTTGGTATGAGTTGAGAGGCAACATTGTTCTTTAAAATGACACTGGAATAGATGCTGTACTGTACATGTAATACTCACAGAGATATCTCTTCTGTATTAATAAAAAACAGTAGCACCCATTTGTAAGGAAATTTTGCTTGTATAGCGATGTACATTATACCTGAACTCTATATTATACTACTTTTCATTTGTTTACTATTAGGCAACACTCCTGGCATAACAGTTGGTTCAGAGGTCAGAAGAGTTGTTTTACAACTCAAAAGTCCCGGACTCTATATCTACACAGGAGACACATTTGAGCACATTTACTCTCACTTGATATTTCTGTTCACCTAGCAGTAAATAGGTACTTGAGAGCAAGGTAGGTGTTATGGGTTGCATTCTGAGAAAGCCTAGTTATTAGCCCAGGTGGGAACTTTAATAAGCCTAATAGGCATCCTGTCCCCAATAACAGGAAACATCCAGGTGCATCAGACTCCTGCCTCGGGTACCCCGAGCCGGTCGGCCAAGCGGACAGCACGCTGGACTTGTGATCCTGTGGTCCCGGGTTCGATCCCGGGCGCCGGCAAGAAACAATGGGTACAGTTTCTTTCACCCTATGCCCCTGTTACCTAGCAGTAAAATAGGTACCTGGGTGTTAGTCAGCTGTCACGGGCTGCTTCCTGGGGGTGGAGGCCTGATCGAGGACCGGGCCGCGGGGACACTAAAGCCCCGAAATCATCTCAAGATAACCTCAAGAAGATAACCCCCAATGTTTGATGGGTCATTTCTTGGAAAACAACAAGCATTAATGCCTCTTATTATAGGACATGACTGTGTTAGTGCTCTTCAATAGAATTTTCATACTGCTGTAGTGCCTTTTTTTTTACATGCCAATGCATCCAGAGACTAAAGACTGGCAACCCATACTTGTTTATTTATTCCTTGTACACCACTGAGCATTAAGGGCTGATATTAATATGCAAAGTAGCCTGGTGTGTGTTTTGGTACATGCTGGTGGCAGTTTTAATTGATATGGAGATACTGAACTTATGTTTGGAGTATGGAGACTAGAAACAGGACTAATTCAGAAACCGGTGCCTAAAAAACATTACACAATGTCCCTTTTGTGTGTAAGGACTATACATTTGTCAGAAAAAAAATTAAATCAAATATAGCTCCTTAACTTTTATGAAACTGAACTTGGGATTTTTATAGGAATGTTCAAATGTTTATCCTCATAGGTTTTTATTATATACGTTTCAGGTTTCAATATGCTTTTGGAGGACATTCAAAGAGTACTGTACTTGGGATTTTGTGGTTCCATTCTACATATGCACAGGTACAAGAGCTACAGAGTTTGACCAGTGCCAATGTCTGGAGACCAGTGACTGTTCAGAGATGGGGAACTTTTTACCTTTTATGATAATTTTGATTATAAAATATAATAAAAGAAAAAAATACAACTTGAAATGTCACTGAAAAAAGGGAGAGGAAATTAATTTTATAAACTTTTCAGCGATATGGTAAAAGAGAGAATAGTCAAGCTCAAACTCTGCAACTCCTGTTATTGAAACCCAAGACCTAAAATATTATTTTACCTGGCTTTTGCTTCTTGACCATCAGGCATATACAGCTTCAATGTCGCAACTATACAGCCATGTGTCACTGTAAAGAAATGACAAAATTATCAAAATATAATCAATAATATATATATATATATATATATATATATATATATATATATATATATATATATATATATATATATATATATATATATATATATATATATATATAAACACACACACACACACACATTATATATACTGTATGCAAATGTTAATCTGCTGTGAATTATACAACAATTTTTTCAAGCTCGTAATAAAAAAATAAAAAATTTACAATTTTTTTCCATGTTTTAAATTATTAACAATAGCCTTACCTTTCTTGGAATTCTCCATGACATCAACACCAAACTGTACAATGTCCCCTGAACAGACCTCCCTCGGTGCCGACTCTTCAGATCCCTTGCTGAGGCGCTGGTTATTGACGAAGGTGCCATTGCTGCTCTTGGTATCTTGCAGGTAGAACTATGATAAACAAAATAATAAGCTCAAAAGCATATAAAAGAGGACTACTGTTGAGTAAAACATCTTGCACAACATTTTCCATAGACAAAACCATGAGCCTATGAAGATGTGGTGCCCATACCTATGCCAGTGTCCCAGAGAGCCAGAGGTACTGCTGTTAAGTGGTCTTACACCGCTAAAATATCCAGCTCCAGTACTGCACTTACCTCACTCAAAATATTACTTGCTCAAGTAAGCTCTTAACATTTTATGTTTGTACACATACATAGGCTGCATGAACATGAATGTCTTGCTGATATAATATACAGACTCCACTGCATTTATCCATGACTATCAGGTTTCAGACTAAATATAAAAATCTTATTCACTTGCAGTTAAAATACATTATCTATACAGTAATATAAATGAACTTCAAATAGTCTGCAAGGCACAGTTAAGCAACAAACAAACGGCAGTATTATTCACCTTTCCATTCTCATACCACAAGAGGGCATGGTTCCTGGAGAGCACCTTACAGTCAAAGATGGCATTGTTGGTTGCTGGCCGGGCACGAGCCACAGATCTCCCAATCTTCACCGGCTGATCCAACACTAATGTTCTCTCCTGAGGACAAAATAACACATTTGATATGTCGTTCACTTTTTAGTCTACACACACACACACACACACTCGCCCATTACTAAAGAAACATTCACATCTAACAATTATCCACGTCTTCCTCACTCAAATTAAATGGTTCAAGATAACCTAAGAAAATCAGAATGAAGGTGACTGCTGAAGGCCTGTACGAGGCAGCAGCTATTTATATCCACCCAAACTATTTATATCACCCATATATGTGTATGCATAATCTACGCTTCAAATAACCCTGCGATCCCACATTAATTATGTTACCAGGTAATGTGTTACCTGATAACATAATTAATTGTGACAACGTATTAATAGTGGCTTCAAAACAACCTCGTTTCAAAACCGTTATTTACCCAGATCTTTCCTCAATGTAAACTCCAATGATGAGCTCTTCAGCTCATCCTTGGGGACATAATTATGAACATACTCTAAATGCTACTGAAGGCTCAGTCCAGTGAAGAACCCTTTCCTCAATGTCAGGGAACTTTGACCTTTATTCACAGTTCTCACGAAGACGATTTGCTTAGTGAGGGTAACTCCAACATTCGTAATGACAACTCCCAAAAAATTATTCTACGCACTGCCAAGACGATTAATTCTGATAATAACTAATAATGTAATACTATGCAAATAAAATTGTTTTTTCTTTAATGTAAAAACAATTAAGGAAATATATGCAGAGCAACATTTAACAATGCTGGTGACTGCAAAACTTCCAAAGGTAAGTAAAGATATGCAAATACACACACACACACACGCACACTCATTAGCTCATTATGGAACAGCTGCACTACCACAATCAATTGTCAGTCCTACAAAATTACACACTTCAAGCAATTTTGTCATTTTATTTCACTAATTTGAATTAAGCTCAAAGGCCTGAACAAACACCAAACAAGCATTAAACACACTTAAAAAAAATTAGTATTTTCTACCTACTGGAGCACACACAACACCACCTCCATCTTTACGTTAGTGATGCAGCAGCCATTCCCACCCCTGCATTACTTGGCAACCAATACCCTTCCACACATAAATATCCAACATTGTCTTCTTTGTACATTAAATTTAGCCCACTTCCTCCCCAACACGGACACAAAAACTAAGTACCGCCTGAAGAAACACTAAAATATCGCACCACCGCACCCGACACCGTACATCATAGGGTTTTGTCCCACCAGTCACAGTGCAACCTGATGCCATACAGGAATACAGGTGCAAGATGGAGAGAGAGAGAAGGGGAATATGAAGAACAGTTGTGGGTAGGAGATACAGTAGGACTGAGAAACATTGATGGGGAAGACGACAGGAAGAGGGAGAAACGGGGAACAATTTAAGTAGGATGAAGGAACCCAAAATGACAGACTAAGACACCACGCTATAAAAACAGGAAAAGAGAGCGCCCCACCCACCTACACCCTCCCACAATAGATTACAACACATATACCGCGCAAAGAGAGGGTTAAAAATAAACAGCGAGTCTACCACCTGGCAACTTCCTGCCTGTCTCCCAGGTCGGCCATTACAAGAGCTCCCTGGTTGGTCTTTACACCAATATAAAGAACCACAGTCCTTCCTTTGATCCTCCTCTGTTGAGGCAGTTGTGGAGGACCACATCTGGAAGCCTTCCAAGATTTCCTCCTCCAGATCGTTCACATTGCTAAATGGAGCCAATTTATTGCCTCACCGGTTTACAGACTTTAAGATTAGCGTTTTCCATTTAGAGTGAACAGTTATTTTGTAAGCGTAAAGCAATGTAGTACATCCTCCCCGCTATATCCCAGGAACCACGACCTAGCCAACCCTCAATGCTTACATACCAAGTCAGCAACAGTAACAAATTGCAAAGTGGTTGGCTTTCTGGTGACGGCAAACAAGTGATCAATGCAAGTTTACATACAAGGTGACAAGAGGATGCTTGAGCAGAAGACGGGGGGGGGGAGCGGGCAGGGGAGGGATAGGGGCAGGAGAAAGATGGGAGTATTGCCTGTGAAGTGAGGATATCAACTAGGTCTTATTTTTTTAATACAATTGACTAGATGTGGGGATAGCAGCCGGTTCCAATGATATGACAGGCTTCTAATTGATGTGGTTGACAATCAAATATCCGCACGAACCTACACAAACACAGCAGGCCTAAGAGTTGTATCGATGTTATATGCCCCGCAGTTATGTTATTTGTGTGTCAAAAAGCAAGAACACGAGGCAATACATTGTGTTGTTACCCGCATCAAGGTTTACGTCAGCTTGTATGGTTTCCTTCTGCACAAATATTTAGTGAGAGAACTGATGTAAGGTCTTGATGATGATGATAACTTGGTAAACCTTAGGAATTGTGGAAGCATCATAATAAATTCTAGCAAATCTGATACAGGTATACAGAAGCATGCACGAACAACATATGCATTAATATCTCCAGGACCAGGCTATGGCATAACCCCAATGAAGAGCAGACGACGAGTCACAATAACGTGGCTGAAGTATGTTGACCAGATCACACACTAGAAGGTGAAGGGACGACGACGTTTCGGTCCGTCCTGGACCATTCTCAAGTCGATTGTGTGAAGTCTTTATGAAGTCACACAATCGACTTGAGAATGGTCCAGGACGGACCGAAACGTCGTCGTCCCTTCACCTTCTAGTGTGTGGTCTGGTCAACACAATGAAGAGATCATTTGCGCTAATACAACAACAAATATATACCACAACATCCTCTGACCAGGATGGGTAATTTCAGTTCTTGGTGACTTATTGGTTTGGGGGGCCCAATCAAGTTCTCATACACTATAACGTATCTGGACAACTTAGGAAAATAACTTAAATAGCATGATGTTAAGAGAGAAAAGGTGCAGAAGAAAAGCAAGGCACCATGATAAATAAAGGACAAGATGTGGCAAGGAAGGGAAGCCAGGCCGAGGACCTGTCACATTACCCGTTCCCTCACCACATGGAAGGGAGGGAGGAGGTGCAGGTGCCAGAGGAAGGAAAGACTGAGGGAGGACTAGGCTGAGGTACACGGGCCTTACATTATCCACCTTAGGTTCGGCCAATTTAGTGCATCAGAGGCCAGATTCACGAAACAGTTACGAAAGTACTTACGAACGTGTACATCTTTCCTCAGTCTTTGACGGCTTTGGTTACATTTATTAAACAGTTTACAAGCATGAAAACTTGCCAATCAACGGTTGTTATTGTTATAAACAGCCTCCTGGTGCTTCGGAGCTCATTAACTGTTTAAAAATTATAAACAAAGCCGCCAAAGATTGAGAAAAGATGTACAGGTTCGTAAGTGTTTGCGTAACTTCTTCGTGAATCTAGTCCCAGTTTAGCGACGTCGTGAACACACTAGAGGCCGGAGCCGCTCCCAATCACCGACTCTTATAATCCTCAACCACCCACTTCCTCACAACACGCCTCCCCTAGCTAGTAGCCCTCACCCCACAATATTATAGTCCTCTAAATATCGATAAACCCCCACAATCCATATATCTAGGCCCACCACATTATTGTGCAACAATCAAAGCCTATGACATTACAATTATGACGGTATTGTAACGTCCTACACCTCGCCAACACTGAATAAAGTTGACCAGACCACACACTAGAAGTTGAAGGGACGACGACGTTTCGGTCCGTCCTGGACCATTCTCAAGTCGATGGATGAATAAAACTAAATTTTATCAATTTTCGCTAGGCTAGGCAAGGCTTGACTAGGCTAAGCTACGCTTGGCTAGGCTAAACTTGACTAGGCTAGGCTAAGCTAAGCTAGGCTAGCCAAGGCTTTTCTAAGAGTAACGATGACGTAGATAGGTAAAACCTCTATTAAAAACAGGCCGAACCAGTGTTGAAAAAGTTGAACATTGTGGGAGTAATTAGGAGGGCGTGAGGATAACGAGGAACACCAGCATGAACAAGACTGCTTTTTATCCTAAATTTGCTTCTCTATAATAAAGAATTAACTTTTTATCATGTGTTTAGCGGCATCTCATGAATCACTGCCTTATGTGGCTGCATTTCAAATTCGTAAACAGAAACTATGTACATCTGATGTAGAGTAAACTCGTGAAAATATATGCTTCAATCCACAATTTAGACCTATTGTGTATGATCCTCTGTCCTGTGTGGCAGTGGATATGTGCAACAGACCTAATTGAATTATTAAAATTAGGAAAAATTGTACATAAATTGTCATTAAAGATGTTAAATCATCATCTCCCTCGTTTAAGATCAGTCGTTATGCTTCACAATACTAGCGAAAAGCCACACACACACACACACACACACACACACACACACACACACACACACACACACACACACACACACACACACACACACACACACACACACACACACGAGCCGGAGTTACAAGCAACAACTAACGTGCGCCTATGGAAGCACATTAAGACAATATCAAAATAATATCCTTTTTTCCCACCGTCGCGTTCTGTTCCCCAGATGACCCGGGCAATTGTCTGGCAAGGTGGCCACACACCGACACCTGACACCTTAACATCTGGCGCCCCAACATCTGAGCTGCCGACGCCATCTACCAAGACTCACATATTAAGACTTCCCTGCTTCCACAAAGTCTTACTCTCTTCCCTACAGTCGCGTGTTTTCAAAACCCACAAATTGTTAACAAAAGACCCCGTGTATAGATCTGCCAGGAAGACAACTAAGCGTGGAGGTAGGGTAGGGCACGAGGGTGAAGAGTGAAGGCAGAGTGAAGGCAGAGTGAAGGCATTCAACAAACATTTCCTCATTCTTATGTGGCTTGTTGATCTTGACGCATGTGGTCATCTACCCCCAGCCAGCCACGGCCCTTCTCACCCCTCCCACTTCCACCCCATTCCATCCCCCTCCCACACACATTAATTCAAGTACAGTACTTAAACAGATCTCCCCGCCATGATAAAGACTACCGCTTCTCAACGCTATTTGGTATCCTTGCCCGCAGCTCTTTCTTATAA